AACACAACCAGGAGAAACGGAGAGCGGGAGGGAGAGAGAGAGAGAGAGAGAGAGAGAGAGAGAGAGGGTGAAGGATGCTGGGTTGGTGCTGGCTTGAATTAGGGTGATTACACTGAAAAGTGAAGTGCCATGTCCTTAAGCTACAAAGCCTTCGCCATGGCTTCAAGGAACTAAAGCATAGAACTGAAAATGTGAAGAGTTATTACCCTATTATATTGTAAGAAGTGGGACGGCACTGTTCATCTGAAGTGCTTTATCTGACTGGTATGATCCAAAATTACGCTTTGGTTCGTTCAACCTATTCTATTCAATTTGTCTGAAATCAAATAACGAATTTGATAGGCTAATGTGATTTTTTTAATTGATTGAAAGCTTCTAAATTGCGTTTAACACCACATACACATTCACATTGCATAGCAGTGGGTGCAATGTAGCGGCGGCAGCCTACCAGAAGAGTTGGAGGCGTGGCCTATTGGGCGTGTGGCTTTCAGTTTGTACTTTTTGGAAAGTGAATGTCATTCCAGGTAATGTTTTCATTTTTATTTGCATGATTATATGTTCACTGCAAGCATTGGATCTTAAATCAGATCCTCAAAAAATTCTACAGCTGCACCATCGAGAGCATCCTGACTGGTTGCATCACCGCCTGGTATGGCAACTGCTTGGCCTCTGACCGCAAGGCACTACAGAGGGTAGTGCGTACGGCCCAGTACATCACTGGGGCAAAGCTCCCTGCCATCCAGGACCTCTATACCAGGCGGTGTCAGAGGAAGGCCCTCAAAATTGTCAAAGACTCCAGCCACCCTAGTCATAGACTGTTCTCTCTGCTACCGCACGGCAAGCGGTACCGGAGTGCCAAGTCTAGGTCCAAAAGACTTCTCAACAGCTTCTACCCCCAAGCCATAAGACTCCTGAACAGCTAATCATGGCTACCCGGACTATTTGCACTGCCCCCCCACCCCATCCTTTTTACGCTGCTGCTACTCTGTTAAGTAAGTATTTATGCATAGTCACTTTAACTCTACCCACATGTACATATTACCTCAACTACCTCAACTAGCCGGTGCCCCCGCACATTGACTCTGCAACGGTACCCCCCTGTATATATAGCCTCCCTACTGTCACTTTATTTTACTGTATATATAGCCTCCCTACTGTCACTTTATTTTACTTCTGCTCTTTTTTTCTCAACACTTTTTTTGTTGTTGTTTTATTCTTACTTTTTTGTTTAAAATAAATGCACTGTTGGTTAAGGGCTGTAAGTAAGCATTTCACTGTAATGTCTGCACCTGTTGTATTCGGCGCATGTGACCAATAAAATTTGATTTGATTTGATTTGATAAGTACTGTGATACTAAAGAGCCTTGAAAATGTTATATTAGTGATGGAAGTCTCTTTTTGCTGTCCAGTCAAAAGAATGCCCAGAGCACGCAGGACCCCCTACCGGCGAATGATGAACTGAAAAATCAAGAGTCATGATTCTACAAGCCTCTCGTTCACATGTCGTTCACCATAGGGGTTTATTGGAGCTGTTATATGTGACTGAGTTAATTAATCCATACAGCCGAATAATAATTCATAATAGATTAGTAATGTATTTCCATACATACAGTGAGGGAAAAAAGGATTTGATCCTCTGCTGATTTTGTACGTTTGCCCACTGACAAAGAAATTATCAGTCTATAATTTTAATGGTAGGTTTATTTGAACAGTGAGAGACAGAATAACAACAAAGAAATCCAGAAAAACGCATGTCAAAAATGTTATAAATTGATTTGCATTTTAATGAGGGAAATAAGTATTTGACCCCTCTGCAAAACATGACTTAGTAAATAACTGGTAAATTACTTAGTACTTGGTGGCAAAACCCTTGTTAGCAATCACAGAGGTCAGACGTTTCTTGTAGTTGGCCACCAGGTTTGCACACATCTCAGGAGGGATTTTGTCCCACTCCTCTTTGCAGATCTTCTCCAAGTCATTAAGGTTTCGAGGCTGACGTTTGGCAACTCGAACCTTCAGCTCCCTCCACATACAGTGGGGAAAAAAAGTATTTAGTCAGCCACCAATTGTGCAAGTTCTCCCACTTAAAAAGATGAGAGAGGCCTGTAATTTTCATCATAGGTACACATCAACTATGACAGACAAAATGAGAATTTTCTTTCCAGAAAATCACATTGTAGGATTTTTTATGAATTTATTTGCAAATTATGGTGGAAAATAAGTATTTGGTCAATAACAAAAGTTTCTCAATACTTTGTTATATACCCTTTGTTGGCAATGACACAGGTCAAACGTTTTCTGTAAGTCTTCACAAGGTTTTCACACACTGTTGCTGGTATTTTGGCCCATTCCTCCATGCAGATCTCCTCTAGAGCAGTGATGTTTTGGGGCTGTCGCTGGGCAACACGGACTTTCAACTCCCTCCAAAGATTTTCTATGGGATTAAGGTCTGGAGACTGGCTAGGCCACTCCAGGACCTTAATGTGCCTCTTCTTGAGCCACTCCTTTGTTGCCTTGGCCGTGTGTTTTGGGTCATTGTCATGCTGGAATACCCATCCACGACCCATTTTCAATGCCCTGGCTGAGGGTAGGAGGTTCTCACCCAAGATTTGACGGTACATGGCCCTGTCCATCGTCCCTTTGATGCGGTGAATTTGTCTTGTCCCCTTAGCAGAGAAACACCCCCAAAGCATAACGTTTCCACCTCCATGTTTGACGGTGGGGATGGTGTTCTTGGGGTCATAGGCAGCATTCCTCCTCCTCCAAATACAGCGAGTTGAGTTGATGCCAAAGAGCTCAATTTTGGTCTCATCTGACCACAACACTTTCACCCAGTTCTCCTCTGAATCATTCAGATGTTCATTGGCAAACTTCAGACGGGCCTGTATATGTGCTTTCTTGAGCAGGGGGACCTTGCGGGTGCTGCAGGATTTCAGTCCTTCGCGGCGTAGCGTGTTACCAATTGTTTTCTTGGTGACTATGGTCCCAGCTGCCTTGAGATCATTGACAAGATCCTCCCGTGTAGTTCTGGGCTGATTCCTCACCGTTCTCATGATCATTGCAACTCCACGAGGTGAGATCTTGCATGGAGCCCCAGGCCAAGGGAGATTGACAGTTCTTTTGTGTTTCTTCCATTTGCGATTAATCGCACCAACTGTTGTCACCTTCTCACCAAGCTGCTTGGCGATGGTCTTGTAGCCCATTCCAGCCTTGTGTAGGTCTACAATCTTGTCCCTGACATCCTTGGAGAGCTCTTTGGTCTTGGCCATGGTGGAGAGTTTGGAATCTGATTGATTGATTGCTTCTGTGGACAGGTGTCTTTTATACAGGTAACAAACTGAGATTAGGAGCACTCCCTTTAAGAGTGTGCTCCTAATCTCAGCTCGTTACCTGTATAAAAGACACCTGGGAGCCAGAAATCTTTCTGATTGAGAGGGGGTCAAATACTTATTTCCCTCATTAAAATGCAAATCAATTTATAACATTTTTGACATGCGTTTTTCTTGATTTTTTTGTTGTTATTCTGTCTCTCACTGTTCAAATAAACCTACCATTAAAATTATAGACTGATCTTTTCTTTGTCAGTGGGCAAACGTACAAAATCAGCAGGGGATCAAATACTTTTTTCCCTCACTGTACAGTATACATATATTTCATAGCAATATTAAAGGGATACTTTGGCATTTTGCCAATAAAGCCCTTTATGTACTTCCCCAGAGTCAGATGAACTCATGGATAGCATTGCTATGTCTCTGCATCCAGTATGATGGAAGTTAAGAGGTAGTTTTGAGAGCCAATGTTAACTAGCGTTAGCACAATTACTGGAAATGTATGGTATCTACTAGCATTCGCTAGTTAGCAATTACTCTAACGCTAGTTAGCAACTTCCTTCAAACTGCACGCAGAGACATACAAATGGTATCCACGAGTTCATCTGACTCTTCATTGCCAAAATCCTGAAGTATCCCTTTAATATAATCATTTGACATGATCATTTGGTGTTTTGACTCTTGTCTGTTGAGGGGGTTGTGAAGGACACAGTTGTCCTGGTTATCTGTTGAAGTCGTTGTGAAGGATACAGTTGTCCTGGTTTTCTGTTGAGGTCGTTGTTATGAACACAGTTGTCCTGCTTTTCTGATGTGTTAACTTAACGTAGCAGGCGTAATATAAATGTCTGAGCGGTGTTTCTTTCTTTCTGGTCCTGATGAGAAAAAAATAACTGTTGGGGGAGGTTCTCTTCTGCACTGTTGAACCAATCCAGTAAATGTGGAGGAGGAGTTAAGATGGAGCGTAGCCTTGTTAACGTCCAAAAGCGGAAGTCGCGTCACAGGCTCTCTTTCCATTTCCCCTGAAAACTGGGTGCATCCGGTTGTTACCGACCCCGTAGAGGGGTGCTGTTAAGGTGGTTGTGGAGGAGACAGTTGTCATGGTTTTCTGTTGTGGTGGTTTTGGAGGAGACAGTTGTCATGGTTTTCATGAGCTTCCCCATGTACACGGGGTGCAGTTATTAAGTCAGTCAGTCAGTACCTTTGGCGGCATCATGTTGGTCATGGGTGTGGCGGGTGAGCTCTCACAGACAATGAGAGAGAGGGGAGATGAGAGGAGGAGGGGAGGGGATCAGGATGGGAGGTGACGAGGGGAGAGGAGGGAGAGAGGGATGGGCAGGGGAGGGGAGGAGAGGGGAGGGGATCAGGATGGGAGGTGACGAGGGGAGAGGAGGGAGAGAGGGATGGGCAGGGGAGGAGAGGGGAGGGGAACAGAGCAACCAAAGCTCAGAATTAGACAGGGCCCAGACCACCTAAGTCGTGTGTTGCTGTGGCAACAGCTCTGTTCCCTTCACACACGGAGGAGTTTTGGGGCTGGTTTCCCTCTCTCTCTCTCTCGTTCTCTCTCGTTCTCTCTCTCGTTCTTTCTCTCTCTCTCTCTCTCTCTCTCTCTCTCTCTCTCTCTCTCTCTCTCTCTCTCTCTCTCTCTCTCTCTCGCTCCCCCCTCTCCACCCTGCTTTGCAGTGCAGTGCAAGCCTGCGTTTGGCAGTGTGTCTGACTCTGTGGCTGTCTCAGCTCAAGGGGAATCAGTTTGTCGCTTTGCTCTACTGGTCTGACCAGTACAGGTAAAGAAAAGCTTTTTTGTCCTGGTAGTGTAGCTCAGTACAGCGTTGTCTGCATGTCTGTGAGGATTTTAGTTGTGGTTTTGTATTAGAATATAACTGTTCTTCTCTTTTATACTGCTGTGCTGTTTTATTGAAATACATTTTGATTTGTTTTTATTGATTTATTCATGTGTTAAGGCTAATGAGACAAACTTGCTAAGAGCAGTAAGAGTTGTCACTGTAAGCTGTTAATTTGATTCAACATCATTCTGTCAGGAAGGGCTGAAATGAGACTGAAGACAGTTGTCATTTACATTAGAGTAGACAGTAGATGTGTTTGTGTTTGTGGTGTGTAGCTGTCAGATAGTAAAAACTGTTGTCTCACTGGAATGAACCCAACAACCTTGTGATGCTGTGTGTGCATACGTGTGTGTGTGTGAGGAAGGTGTGTTTGAGCCTGTGTCGTCGTGTGCCTTTGAGACATAAGCTGATCTGGATGCAGGACACATCACTGCCCAGTCTGTGAGGAGGTAGGGAGGGAGGGAACGAGGGAAGGGAACAAAGGAGAGAGGGTATCTGTCTAGGTGAAGGAGTTTGCGGTGCATGTCTGTCTGGAGGGATGGAGGGAGAGAGGGAAAGAGGAAGGGAAGAGCGAGGGAGGGAGGGAGGGGGGATAGAAGGGAAGAGCGAGGGAGAAAAGGTATCTGTCTAGGTGAGGGAGGGAGCAGTGCATGTCTGTCTGGAGGGAGGGAGAGAGGGAGAGAGGGAGGGAAGAGCGAGGGAGGGAGGGGGGATAGAAGGGAAGAGCGAGGGAGAGAAGGTATCTGTCTAGGTGAGGGAGGGAGCGGTGCATGTCTGTCTGGAGGGAGGGAGAGAGGGAGAGAGGGAGGGAAGAGCGAGGGAGGGAGGGGGGATAGAAGAGAAGAGCGAGGGAGAAAAGGTATCTGTCTAGGTGAGGGAGGGAGCAGTGCATGTCTGTCTGGAGGGAGGGAGAGAGGGAGAGAGGGAGGGAAGAGCGAGGGAGGGAGGGGGGATAGAAGGGAAGAGTGAGGGAGAGAAGGTATCTGTCTAGGTGAGGGAGGGAGCGGTGCATGTCTGTCTGGAGGGAGGGAGAGAGGGAGAGAGGGAGGGAAGAGCGAGGGAGGGAGGGGGGATAGAAGGGAAGAGCGAGGGAGAGAAGGTATCTGTCTAGGTGAGGGAGGGAGCGGTGCATGTCTGTCTGTCTGGAGGGAGGGAGGGAGTTCATCATAGCCAAGCTGTAGGCTCCAGAATAGAATGACGTTATGGTGCTGTCAAAATAATCAGGATAGAGACCATAGTAATAGAACATGCATAGAACCTCTGACCATGGCAAATTGCTTTGCGTACACCATAGGCAATAGGGTACCATTTGACACGCGGCCTTGGACTGTGTGTGTTGGAATGTCACACTGTGTGGTTGATCTGCTAGGTCAGTCAGACTGAGATCAAAGAGGTGAAGGCTGGAGGATGCTCTCTAGGTTTCTTCCTAGGTTCCTGCCTTTCTAGGGAGTTTTTACATCAACAAGGCCACAGATGTCTCAAGTTTTGAGGGAGCGTGCAATTGGCATGCTGACTGCAGGAATGAGCTGTTGCCAGAGAATTGAATGCTTATTTCTCTACCATAAGCCACCTCCAATGTCGTTTTAGAGAATTTGGCAGTACCTCCAACCGACCTCACAACCGCAGACCACGTGTAACCACGCCAGCCCAGGACCTCCAAATCTGGCTTCTTCACCTGAGGGATCGGATCGTCTGAGACCAGCCACCGGACAGCTGATGAAATTGTGGTTTTCACAACCGAAGAATTTCTGCACCAACTGTCAGAAACCGTCTCAGGGAAGTTCATCTGCGTGCTCGTCGTCCTCACCAGGGTCTTGACCTGACTGCAGTTCGTCGTTGTAACCGACTTCAGTGGGCAAATGCTCACCTTCGATGGCCACTGGCATGCTGGAGAAGTGTGCTCTTCACGTATGAATCCCGGTTTCAACTGTACCGGGCAGATGGCAGACAGCGGGTATGGCGTTGTGTGGGCGAGCGGTTTGCTGATGTCAACTTTGTGAACAGAGTGCCCCATGGTGGCGGTGGGGTTATGGTATGGGAAGGCATAAGCTAACGACAATGAACACAATTGCATCCTGAGGCCCATTGTCTAGTCATTCATCCTTCGCCATCACCTCATGTTTCAGAATGATAATGCACAGCACCATGTCACAAGGATCTGTACACAATTCCTGGAAGCTGAAAATGTCCCAGTTCTTCCATGGCCTGCATACTAACCAGACATGTCACCCATTGAGCATGTTTGGGATGCTCTGGATCAACGTGTACGACACGTGTTCCAGTTCCCGTCAATATCCATTAACTTCGCACAGCCATTGAATAGGAATGGGACAACATTCCACAGGCCACAATCAAAAGCCTGATCAACTCTATAAGAAGGAGATGTGTCGCGCTGCAAATGGTGGTCACACCAGATACAGAATGGTTTTCTGATTACATTTACATTTATATTTACGTCATTTAGCAGACGCTCTTATCCAGAGCGACTTACAAATTGGTGCATTCACCCTATGATAGCCAGTGGGACAACCACTTTACAATATATACAGTGAGGGAAAAAAGTATTTGATCCCCTGCTGATTTTGTACGTTTGCCCACTGACAAAGACATGATCAGTCTATAATTTTAATGGTAGGTTTATTTGAACAGTGAGAGACAGAATAACAACAAAAACATCCAGAAAAATGCATGTCAAAAATGTTATAAATTGATTTGCATTTTAATGAGGGAAACAAGTATTTGACCCCTCTGCAAAACATGACTTAGTACTTGGTGGCAAAACCCTTGTTGGCAATCACAGAGGTCAGACGTTTCTTGTAGTTGGCCACCAGGTTTGCACACATCTCAGGAGGGATTTTGTCCCACTCCTCTTAAGATTTCGAGGCTGACGTTTGGCAACTCGAACCTTCAGCTCCCTCCACATATTTTCTATGGGATTAAGGTCTGGAGACTGGCTAGGCCACTCCAGGACCTTAATGTGCTTCTTCTTGAGCCACTCCTTTGTTGCCATGGCTGTGTGTTTTCGGTCATTGTCATGCTGGAATACCCATCCATGACCCATTTTCAATGCCCTGGCTGAGGGAAGGGGGTTCTCACCCAAGATTTGACGGTACAAGCCCCGTCCATCGTTCCTTTGATGCAGTGAAGTTGTCCTGTCCCCTTAGCAGAAAAACACCCCAAAGCATAATGTTTCCACTTCCATGTTTGACAGTGGGGATGGTGTTCTTGGGGTCATAGGCAACATTCCTCCTCCTCCAAACACGGCAAGTAGAGTTGATGCCAAAGAGCTCGATTTTGGTCTCATCTGACCACAACACTTTCACCCAGTTCTCCTCTGAATCATTCAGATGTTCATTGGCAAACTTCAGACGGGCCTGTATATGTGCTTTCTTGAGCAGGGGGACCTTGCGGGCGCTGCAGGATTCCAGTCCTTCACGGCGTAGTGTGTTACCAATTGTTTTCTTGGTGACTATGGTCCCAGCTGCCTTGAGATCATTGACAAGATCCTCCCGTGTAGTTCTGGGCTGATTCCTCACCGTTCTCATGATCATTGCAACTCCACGAGGTGAGATCTTGCATGGAGCCCCAGGCCGAGGGAGATTGACAGTTCTTTTGTGTTTCTTCCATTTGCGAATAATCGCACCAACTGTTGTCACCTTCTCACCAAGCTGCTTGGCGATGGTCTTGTAGCCCATTCCAGCCTTGTGTAGGTCTACAATCTTGTTCCTGACATCCTTGGAGAGCTCTTTGGTCTTGGCCATGGTGGAGAGTTTGGAATCTGATTTATTGATTGCTTCTGTGGACAGGTGTCTTTTATACAGGTAACAAGCTGAGATTAGGAGCACTCCCTTTAAGAGTGTGCTCCTAATCTCAGCTCGTTACCTGTATAAAAGACACCTGGGAGCCAGAAATCTTTCTGATTGAGAGGGGGTCAAATACTTATTTCCCTCATTAAAATGCAAATCAATTTATAACATTTTTGACATGCGTTTTTCTGGATTTTTTTGTTGTTATTCTGTCTCTCACTATTCAAATAAATCTACCATTAAAACTATAGAATGATCATTTCTTTGTCAGTGGGCAAATGTACAAAATCAGCAGGGGATCAAATACTTTTTTCCCTCACTGTATATATATATTATATATATATATTTTTTTAATTTGGGGGGGGGGGGGGGGGGGGGGGGGGGAGAGGGTAGAAGGATTACTTTTATCCTATCCCAGGTATTCCTTACAGAGGTGGGGTTTCAAGTGTCTCCGGAAGGTGGTGAGTGACTCTGCTGTCCTGGCGTCGTGAGGGAGCTTGTTCCAACGCAATGCCCTCGTTTGGGTGTAGGGACTGATCAGAGCCTGAAGGTATGGAGGTGCCGTTCCCCTCACAGCTCCGTAGGCAAGCACCATGGTCTTGTAGCAGATGCGGCTTCAACTGGAAGCCAGTGGAGTGTGCGGAGGAGCGGGGTGACGTGAGAGAACTTGGGAAGGTTGAACACCAGACGGGCTGCAGCGTTCTGGATGAGTTGTAGGGGTTTAATGGCACAGGCAGGGAGCCCAGCCGACAGCGAGTTGCAGTAATCTACAGGATCGAGTCACCGCTTTGATGTTAGCGGAGAACGACAGGGTGTTGTCCAGCGTCATGCCAAGGTTCTTTGCACTCTGGGAGGAGGACACAACAGAGTTGTCAACCGTGATGGCGAGATCATGGAGCGGGCAGTCCTTCCCCGGGAGGAAGAGCAGCTCCGTCTTGCCGAGGTTCAGCTTGAGGTGGTGATCCGTCATCCACACTGATATGTCTGCCAGACATGCAGAGATGCAATTCACCACCTGGTTATCAGAAGGGGGAAAGGAGAAGATTAATTGTGTGTCGTCTGCGTAGCAATGATAGGAGAGACCATGTGAGGATATGACAGAGCCAAGTGACTTGGTGTATAGAGAGAATAGGAGAGGGCCTAGAACTGAGCCCTGGGGGACACCAGTGGGTGTAGGAGCGACCTGTGAGGTAGGACACAATCCAAGAGTGAGCCGCGCCGGAGATGCCCAACTCGGAGAGGGTGGAGAGGAGGATCTGATGGTTCACAGTATCAAAGGCAGCAGATAGGTCTAGAAGGATGAGAGCAGAGGAGAGAGAGTTAGCTTTAGCAGTGTGGAGAGCCTCCGTGACACAGAAAAGAGCAGTCTCATTTGAATGACCAGTCTTGAAACCTGACTAGTTTGGATCAAGAAGGTCATTCTGAGAGAGATAGCAAGAGAGTTGGCTAAAGACGGCACGCTCAAGAGTTTTGGAGAGAAAAGAAAGAAGGGATACTGGTCTGTAGTTGTTGACATCGGAGGGATCGAGTGTAGGTTTTTTGAGAAGGGGTGCAACTCTCGCTCTCTTGAAGACAGAAGGGACATAGCCAGTGGTCATGAAAATGTAGAGAGGAGGGAGTGAAAAGATGACAGGTCGGCAGGGAGTCTAGTTTTCCTCCATTTCCGCTCGGCTGCCCGGAGCCCTGTTCTGTGAGCTCGCAATGAGTCGTCAAGCCACGGAGCAGGAGTGGAGGACCGAGCCGGCCGGGAGGATAGGGGACATAGAGAGTCAAAAGATGCAGAAAGGGAGGAGAGGATGGTTGAGGAGGCAATGCCCTTACATTTTTTAAGGTATCTGTGACCAACAGATGCATATCTGTACTCCCAGTCATGTGAAATCCATAGATTAGGGCCACATATCTTTCAATTGACTGATTTCTTTAGATGAACTGTAACTCAGTAAAATCTTTGAAATTGTTGCATGTTGTGTTTATATTTTTGTTCAGTACATCAGACACAACATCACTGGGTTGGGGAGGGATTGACATTGAAGACATGAAGCCCAGTTTCATGATCTTGATCTCAGGGTGATCTGAGGGTGTTAGCTAGTATCTTGTAGGCTGTTGATTGATGTTCCTGGATTTATAGTATCAACTGTTCTGTTCTATTTTCTAGCTAGTTTGAGACTACTTGGCATGCATGACTTCTACTGAAGTTGTTAAAATAGTCTCTTTCAGGTTTGCAAGTTTTCTTGAATAGTTTTGTGTTGATTGGATTAAATTGACTGGAATGACACTTGGGTTTGGCAGTGGTACGCATCTGTCCATGTTTGTATGACACCCTCCATTTCACTCTGAAATGGAGCCACAGAAAGCAGGATAATTTGAGTGGGCGAGTGCGCTGTGTGAGTGTTCCCGGAAGACGTGTTTGTGTGTGTGTTTGTACGCGTGCGTGTGTCTGTGTGTGAGTATCTGGTGGGTGGAAAATGGTCCTGAAACAGCTCCACGTCGTGACCACAAAAGCTCTCCACCGCCAACTAACTATTCCCACTGAAATACACTGTTGCCATGTCAATTACACAGTTTAGGAGACTGACATTCTCAAAAACACTAAATTATTAAAGTAAAAATGTGAAATAAAGGACATGATATGGATCTATAGTATATATTGGAGTCCATATGCACAGGAATCATGGATGTATGGCTGTCCAATGTTTACATTACAACATATATCCATGAACCCTACCCACACACACTAGGGCTGGGATACAATATTATCACGATATTTAGGTGCCAATACGATATGTATTGCGATTTTATATGTATCACAACTTATCACAATTCTATATGTATGGCGATTTTGATACTGCAATGTTATTGCGATTCAATGTTCCAAACATATTGCTCACTATATGTCTGCTGCAGAGAGACAAGAGAGCCACGAGAAAACGATCAGTTATGGAAATAAAAGTGCTGAAAACATGTTTGGCTCACCATTGAAAAAGAAGATTGAGGCCAAGCTATAGAACAGTGGTTCCCAACTTTTTTGGTTACTGTACCACCAACAGAATTTTGCTCTGCCCAGAGTAGCCCTGAAGTACCCCCTCGTGCATTTGACCAGTAGGCCTATGGTCTCATGAGTCTTCTCATGGCCTATCCCTGTGGATAGGCCAAGTACCCCCTGTGGATAGGTCCTAGTACCCCTGGTTGGGAACGACTGCTATAGAAGGAGAAATACCAGAGTTCTGGCACAGGTACAGCCGACTAGCACTAGCTAACGTTAAAACTGGAATCCTTAATGGTGAAACTGCCACGTCCGTTTGCGTTATTACAACAACAAAGACGTTCCGGCAAACAATGAATACTGTTTATTTCCCTCGGACATCATTGCACTGCAATTTTTTTACCTTAATGCGCGACGGTCCCCCAGCACTCCCCACCTTTGCTTCGTCAACAAAAACAGTTTTTAAACCTCAAATACACTACAAGTTTGTATTTCCTGCAGGAAAATTGTCAGCAACAAAAGAGTGATCAAATTAAGATCCTACATCTGTAGGTCTAATGGGTAAAGGTATCATCTAGATAAAATAGTTTCTGACCAGTGGAGGGTATCCGGGTCGTATTCATTAGTGCACACCGTAGCAAAACATTTTGCAACGAAAAACGAAAACATGCTTCCTTTGCTTTAGTTTGGTTCATAGTGAATACGACCCTGGGCACACAATTGTTGGCTCAAAGTTATCTGCCAATCACAGGCCCAGGCCCAGGACCATTTCTGATTGGCCAGTAGGTTTGGCTGCTGTCTTCCTGCCTGAAGCTGTGTTTCCATGGTGATTTCTGCAGTTAGAATGCTGCCAATACTCCCAAGTATAGATTTAAGTATATATTTTTTATATTAAACAATCAGCCTTAGATGGACAGAAAGCAATCATTAAATGAATTATCAATCAATAAGGACAGACCTTAAGTGAATATTTCATTGACACACTATGATTGACAAGATATGGTTGGTTTAGACATGTCACTGACGACTGTGTGTATGTGTGTGTGTGTGTCTACCTGTGTGTGTGTGTCACAGAGCAAGTGTCTGCGCGGATTGTGCAGGAGGTGACAGCCGAGGCGGTGGCAGTACTGAAGGGAGAACAGGAGACAAGACTGCCCTCAGGTACACATGCACGCAGCACACACACACACACACTCTTGACATGTCCCGGCCCTCCCCTCTCTTCCCTCCCCACCCCTCCAGAGGAAGCATAGCGATTCTGAGTGTGACACAAGAGGTCCTTTTGGCCGATGTCAGTGGACAGAAATGGTGCCGTTGGGGTGTGTGCGTGTAGGGGTTAGAGAGCCGTGTCAGGACTGGACAGCTGTCAGAGTAGATCTACCATGGTGGTAGTGCTGGGGGCCACATAGCAACACTGACCCTCAATATGTAGTAGCCTCTCTATTCCCGGATGCGACGTCTGTCTGTCAGCACATCTATGGCATCATACATCTATGGAGGGTTAGTGTGTGAGCCAGCCTTGAGGTCACTGAAGGGAAGGTTGTAAGGACTGTGCTGTTTCTTTTTGTTATGCATTGCTTTAAATGGTCTGTCTGTTATAAGGAAGCCTGTAATGTTCTTGCATTACTACTATTAGCTAATTCACTATTACAGTTCCTCACATTTCCACCAGAGAATGCTCATTAGAGGAATTACTCAGCAAAAAACAGCCATTATAGTATTTATTCACATCTTTACTATTCACAGAGACTTTCAGAGGAGCTTTAAAGGATTAACCAGAGAGAGAGCGAGATATAGAGGGAGGGAGGGAGGGAGGGATGGAGAGAGAAAGAAAGAGAGAGAGACACTCCAGGCTTCATCAGCTACTATCTCAACACACACACAGACACACACACAGACACACACACAGCACACACACACAGACACACACGCACAGATACACACACACACACACACACACACACACACACACACACACACACACACACACACACACACACACACACACACACACACACACACACACACTAGCTGTTTTCAAACTTCACTCCCTATAAATTGTCATCTCTCTTTGTCTGTCTCACTCTGTCTGTTTTTCTGTAGTTGAAGACACAGCAAACCTGCCTCCCTCCCCTCCTCCCTCTCCTGCTGCTGAGCACTGCTTCGGACCCCTGGATCAAGGTAAGGTCCTGAGAGAGAGATGAGAGAGAGATATGAGGGAGAGAGAGAGATGAGAGACAGATGAGAGAGAGCGAGAGAGAGATGAGAGAGTGACATGTTATCATCATGAGTGTATGTGAAGTGGAGTTGTATTTGACCGTGCTGAGACGAGTTGGACCCCATTCCTTCTGCCAATTGGAGGATACTGTATGTGTCACCTTCAGAGGAACCATTCACAGAGGCTACCTACCTGGGTCGTGTGGTTACACAGAAACAGGAAACCAAACCCAGGAAGTGTTTCTTAGACATTCATTCTCTTTGAACAGAAGTCCTCTCCCTTCTCCTCATCTTCCTTTTTACCCCAGATTTAGAAATGCTCTTCATCACTTCTTTACCTCAATTCCTCCATCCACAAGCCCATACTCCTTCATCCTCCCCCCTTCCCTGACCATGTGTCTTGTAATGCAAGTGCATGACCTTTGCATGACCTCACCCATCCTCACTCTTCTTCACCCCTCACCGGCATCCTTCCTCTCCCCTAACTTTCCTCACCCACCCCTCCTGTCCTTGCAGATATAACTCTGGTAGCCTGTTTGCCTTCCTAACCTCTCTTGTTTCCACTGGTGTATCTTTGTCTTTACTCTTCTGTCTTGTGTTTAAGCATGTGTTCTTGTTAGTTTTTCCTTGTTCTCTGCCCATGCTTGTTTGTCTTCCTGGTTTGTTTCTGATCGTGCCTGACATGTTGTCTGTGTTCGTCTAGTCAAGTCTGACTGCAGTGGACATGTGACCTATGACAGAGATTGTGGGAGGAGCCAGCCATGCTCAGACAGACAGGTGGTTGAATTTACATGTTAGCTACTTCCTGATGTTCAGAAAATGGAAACTCCCTCTCTTCCTATTTTATTACGTAGCAATCTCCCTTAGATTTAAATGTCTTTATCAATTCATATATACATTTAATTAGGTTTATAAGAGAACACCTTGGCACCACTGTGCTACTAGGGGTAGTGAGTAAATACCTCAGCCAGCAAGCAAAGTCATCGGCCCACTGGCGGCACTACAACACTTTGCTCATCAGCACTGCAGCAGTCGGTCCAATAACATTAGCTTTCAATGAATGTAATTGTTACATTGCTTTACATCACGGTCACTGTTACATTGTTCTGACTATGTGATCCCATCTTCTCTCTGAGTATGGCGGACCCCAAACTCAGTCACTTTCAGTTGCTGGTCATTTCGGGGTGTGTGGTTGTTCTGTATCTTCGAGGAGATGGGAAGAGACGAGAGGAGAGAGAGAGAGAAGAGCGAGAGGAGGCGAGCGCGAGAGCGAGAGAGAGGAGGAGAGAGAGCGAGAGAGAGAGAGAGATTGAAGAGAGAGAAGAGAGGAGAGAGAGGGGATCATGGAGCGCGTTTCAAGGCGCGACTGTACGCCATACAGTAGAGCGATTATAAGTATGGTAGTCTCTCTTTCTCTCCTCTCTCTCTCTCTCTCCTCTCTCTCTTCTCTCTCTCTTCCTTTCCTGTCATACTTTGTCTAAGTTTTCCCTGTTCTTTCTCTCTTTCCTTTTCTCTTTATCTCTACCAGTTTCTCTCTCTCGCTCTCATCAGTCTCTCTCTCTCTCTCTCTCTCTCTCTCTCTCTCTCTCTCTCTCTCCCTCTCTCTCTCTTTCTCCCCAACACTTAAGTCCCTCTATCCCCCCTTCTACCTCCCTCCCTCCCTGTGTGTTTTCTCTGTGTGTGTCCAGATTTCCCCTACAGTACGTTCTTCTCTTGCGTGTCTGTTGTTTGTCCCTCTACCTCCTTCCCCTTCCCCTCCCTCACTTTCTTTCCCTCCCTGTCTGTTTCTCTGCGTCTCTCCCTCCCCCTCTCCCCCTCTCCCCCTCTCCCCCTCTCCCCGCCTGTCTTTCTGTCTGTCTGCCTGTCTGTCTGTCTGTCTGTCTGTCTGTCTGTCTGTCTGTCTGTCTGTCTGTCTGTCTGTCTGTCTGTCTGTCTGTCTGTCTGTCTGTCTGTCTGTCTGTCTGTCTGTCTGTCTGTCTGTCTGTCTGTCTGTCTGTCTGTCTGTCTGTCTGTCTGTCTGTCTGTCTCTCTCTCTCTCTCTCTCTCTCTCTCTCTCTCTCTCTCTCTCTCTCTCTCTCTCTCTCTCTCTCTCTCTCTCTCTCTCTCTCTCTCTCTCTCTCTCTCTCTCTCTCTCTCTCTCTATCTCTCTCTCTCTCTGTGTGTGTCCAGATTTCCACTGCAGTACGTTCTTCTCCTGTGTGTCTGTTGTTTGTAGATGTAGGGGATGAGGAGGAGGAGGCCTGCCCTCTCCACCACTTCCAAAATTCTCGGGAGAGGTGCAAGTTCCTCGCCCCCTCCATCTCTGTGTCTATGCCCGAGGATGGCCCCTACCACTCTGACGAGGAATACTATGATCACCCCTTGTTCAGCCCTGAGTGGGATCGCTCTGTCTCCTCTCGGCCCTCAGTGCCGGCCGCTGCCTTTAGACAGATCCAAGGTGAACCGCGCATGGTTCCTCTACGTACGCCATTCTTCCTTCCTATCTTCCCTTCTTCCTCCTACCTTCCTCTTTCTCCTCTCTTTTACCCTCGATCCCCCTTTTCTGTGGTTCGACCAATAACCTCCGTCTTTCCGTCCGTCCGTGTGTTTGTTTGTGTCCCTATGGTGTCAATTAGCTCAAAGAATCTGAGCACTTTCATGTTTTGTGATGTTTTTGATGATCTAGTTTTTTGTGATTTTCCTTTTATTTCTATATCTCAATCAAAGCCATTTGTTCCCTATAGTCAACTTTGCCTCCGGAAGCATCCCATTACTTATCAAAGTGATCCGATTAATATAAACCTAACTGTATTCATTTATAATTTGAACACAAACTTGGCTGAGAAAATTATTAAACCTACATGTGCATACTTGCAAGTATACATATCATGAACTGCATACATATTTCTGTATACAGGTTAAAAAAAATGGCATATGCAAATCACGCAAACAGAGTGGCATGCAGGCCCAGGACTTGTTGTGGTCCAAATGGCTTGCAGCAATATACAGAGGATTGTTGTGCATGAACTAAGACTTGTTCCATGCACATGTTTTCCTCTCTGCCGGTCTGTGACATCTTCATGCCATGTGTTATGTATCTGTCTGTCATCTCTCCCTCAAAGACAAACTCATCCCTGAGCTCTCCCTTCTCATGTGTCCCACCACCCGCTCATACACACACACACCCGTTGTAGATCACCGGATTCACAGGAAGACTGTCAGCTCAACACACACACATACACACACACTGCACTGCAAACACACACACATGCTCTCAGAGGACACACAGCACAAACACTCTCAATACGCTCTCTCACAACTCCAAAAGGCTTATAGTATTAGTCGACAAAGACATGTCCTTACTTAGCACCTCATCAAGGCTGATGTTTCCTGTAGTAGGCTGGAGGAAGGGGCGCAATGCACCACAAAAATCTGAGGGGGCACAACATATGTGAGGATGGCTGGGGGGTGGTCCGGAGGGTGGCTTGGCTTTGCCTTTTTCAAACACCTGAAACAGCTTTTTGAAATCTAGAGCCATAATCAATATGCTTCATTCTATGTAAAAAAATATGTATATTTTTCTGCATATCTAAGCATATCTCTTGACTGCTGGTTCTTTTTTTTAAAGAAACTAAATATGCTTCTCTGCATCTCTGCTAAAATCTGGGTAAAAGATTGAAAGGAATGTGAGTCTTATTCATTACATTTAGCTATTGCTTGCTTTTCTAAAGTATGCCAACTTTGCCAACAGGCATGCCAGCTAAGCTAGTTAGACAAGCTAGCTACTCTAACTTGATTGACAGCATGAAATGGCTTCTTGGTAGCTAGTTATGAGGTTGGAAGATTGGGAACCTATCTGGGCTAGCTAAAGCCAACTTCATAGAATTGCTAGGTGGCTAGTATTAGTACAGAGAAACAACGTCTCTATGTCTCCAGCTTGCAGACTGTATAAAGGCGTCCGCATGCTTCAGTTCGGCTGGCCGAGCTCAGCTAGTCGAACCAAACGAGTGTGCTCACATACTTCTTTAAAAGACCTTCACTTAAAAAAAGAGAAAAAAGCGGCAATAGTACTGTTTGTCCACTTTGAGACACCATAGCCAGTATACACTTCCTAAAAATAACAAGAAATCTGTCATTAATTTTGACGTTTTTGCCAAGGAGAGCTTAGTCGCACAATTTTGCATCTGACTAGGATGTTTGGTGCAGTACTTCTCAAGTGAAAAAATTTACATGAGGCCGAGTCGTCTCTCGTTGAAAGACAACAGGCATTTCATTGAAGAATCCCTACTGTTGACCAATCGCCAACAAGGGGGTGTAGACTTCGGCTACCGACTTCGGCTTGCCTCAAGAAAAAATGTTGTGTGCCTGAACAGCTGAAAAAACTCTTGCCAATGTCTAAAACTAACAAATACGTCACAAAATGTCATCATAATATACAATATGCACCAACTGATCCAAACTGTTTCGGCTGGGATGCATGCGGACGCCTGAATTCATCAGTCCTCCTCTCTGTCTCCTCTCCCTGAGCAGAGAGTGCCCCTGCTGTGATGTGACCCAGCAGGCTGTACACTGCTGCCACATCCAGTCACTGCCCTGCTCTACACACACACGCGAGCTAGCACACACACACACACACACACACACACACACACACACACACACACACACACACGCGTACACACACACACACACACACACACACACACACACACACACACAGCAGCTCAGCCGCCTGGCATAACATATAAAACCCTGAGCACTCTGCCACATGGCGAGGAGAGGCGTAGCGCTGCCGCATAAATGCTTTTGGGTTGAGCAGCATATTTCTGCCTCTAAGCAGGATTTTAGAATCAGAATTTGCACCTCATAGTCAGCATGACAGCTTAGGAGTTAGGAGCAGAGGCACCCCCAGCCCACAGTCAAAGAAATCAATCACACATCACTGTGCAGAGCAGAGCATCCTCCGCATGCAGAACAGTACCGCAGCTCTGCATACTGTGGCCCCTTTATCCACAGGGAATGGATTAGGGAGACGCAAGAGAATTATCAAACTTTAGGTGTGTGTGCTGATCACATAGAGAGGATGTGAGGATATGCTTGTTTGGGGATCTGTTCCATATCTTCTAATGGTTTGGGTTTGGAGGGTTGAGTACTGATCCAGGACTGATCCTAGAACAGTGATAAAGGACGTGTTCTCCTTGGAGCCACTGTCTGTCTCTGCCTACACTCTATACTATCTAGAACCTAAAAGGGTTCTTTGGCTGTCCTCAGAGGAGAACCCTTTGAAGAACCCTTTTTGGTTCCAGGTAGAACCCTTTTGGTTCCAGGTATAACTTTTTTGGTTCCATGTAGAACCTTTTTTGGTTCCATGTAGAACCCTTTCCACAGAGGGTTCTACATGGAACCCAAAAGGGTTCTACCTGGAACAAAAAAGGGTTCTACCTGGAACTAAAAAGGGTTCTCCTATGGGGACACCCGAAGAACCCTTTTGGAACATATTGCCTACACCCCAACACCCATCACATGCTGACTAACTGATCAACTCAGGTTATGGTTACAGAACTTGGATGAGGTGAGAGTGGGATTTCTGATATATTTCTCTCAACTGACAATGGGAGGGTAAAATGTACTGTATGTATAGCTACAGTACACACCTTTGCTTGCAAAATACTGTTATAGTGTATCATGCATGCATTTTCTTACTGATAAAGGTATGTTTGAATGGAAATAACCTGATGTGGTGTGTCGGCATGGTGTGTGTATGACAGAGAGAAAGAGACTATGGCCGTTGTGTGCCTTTTTGAAAGCATCGATCCACAGCAGATTTTACAGACAGAGGTGAGGGTTCTTTTATAGCCTGACGAAGACCTTTGGGTCCACGTTGTCACAATTGCACTCAATAAAACTGCAGGAATATTCAACAGTGTGCTGGACAAGTATCTATCGTTCTGTCAGGATTATTTTATATATTGTATATAAAAAAAAGCCTCTGCATGCTTAAACTCTATGATCCAAAACATCCATACCACCAAACCTAAACAAACCACATGGCCAGGGGAGAAACGTCACTCACTCATACGCTACAACATCTGTGACCAGTGCATCTATCTCTGTCTACAGTAGATAATATACAATATACACAGTGAGCCACCTTTACAGAGCTGAACGTGTCCCACCGATTTGTACCCATGTAACCCAAGTCTGTGTTGCCAACCCGTAGTCTTGATGTCTACTGTCCACCTCTCTCCTTCTTTTATACAAAGTAGAGACCATCGAGGCTCTTACAGACACATTCGAGGAGGAGGAGGAGGAGGAAGAGGTGTTGATGTTGGAGGAGGAGGAGATGGAAGGGGCAGCAGCCGATATCGTGGCAGCTCTTGAGGAGCTGTGGAGTGGGGATGAGCCTGAGCTGGACAGCCCCCCGGCCGAGCCCTTAGAGCAGGCAGAGGCCATAGGCGAGGCCCATACTGTGCCTCCCGTGCAGGCCGAGGCAGCTAGTGCCGCCCCAGAAGGCCCTAACGGGAGGGAGGAGGTGGAGGTGGAGGAGAAGGAGGTGGCAGAGCCTGAGGGGGAGGAGGAGAGCCCTGAGGAAGGTGTGTCTGTCTGTCCTCTCTCTCCTCTCCCAGGCTGCATGTTATTGTATTGCGTGTAGACAATAAGATAATTTAGGCTTTAAGGGAATACACCACCCCCCCCCCCCCCTCCCCGCTACGCTCTGCTAAAGGCTGCAAGGCAACACAGGTGAACGCTAGGAGCCATGTTTTAAAACTTTCTTCCTGGTTCCTCTTTTCTTTTTGCTTTTCTTTTCAGTTTTTAGCTGCAGTTTTTGAGACTGGGCTTTTCGTGTCTGTGTGTTAATGAAATGTCGCTGACGCTACTTACCGACGTATTGATGTCTCATTGGTGTTAACCCATCACTTAGTGTCTTTCTGCCAGTGATGTTTGCCATTAAAACACCTAATTTATATAGCATGTAAATCACCCGTTCTCTATTGCATTCAGCTGTGTTTTCTGTTCAGTTTTCCTTAAGCTGTCATTGTAATAATATCAATATCAGTGTTTTTATTGCCATTTCACTGGTTTTCATATTTTAGATATTGTGTCAATACAGTGTTATTCTGTCATTTTTCCTATTGTTCAAATATATTTATGTCTTAGTTGATCTTAATAACCTTATACTATCGACTAATAAAAGTATAACTTATACAACTTATTCTAGCAAGATTTGATGATAGATGATTGTACATCGTCCTCAAAGGTAATAGTTGAATAGTCCAATTATTCAATACACATTCATAAATCAGGGTGTAAAGCAGACATTTAGCTAAGTGCAAATCATTATGATTTCTTCATAAAGCCTGGAAAGAATGACAGAAAGGCTATTATTTTACCCTTTATTAGATATGTAAAGTCGTCATTCGTCGGAAAACCATTCCATACCTCATTGCTTGATTCTTCTCATCCATCAACGCCATGGCTGCCTGCACATTCCAGTTCCGTCATTCCGGTTCCATCACGTTCCGTCACGTTCCATGCCATTGTTCCGTCCATCAGTGAGTGGGTTCCGCCTCATGGGTTCCGCCTCATGCTCCTGTCCTGCCTCCTCAGTGATGCGCGATGCTCTCTGTATTGTGCTACAGTAAGTGATAACAGGCTGTGAGTCTGGAGCAGAGCTTTGCCTGTGTCTGTGATAGTATGGCTGGCCCTGGTTAAAATGGCTGACCCAAAAACAAAGTAGCCTACCTTTAATAGCTGAATGTTGAAGCAAAACCAAACAAACTACTAAAGATTTAACTTACAGCCTTGAAGATGGACACAGACAAACCAGACAGCGAGAGGAGTGGAACCCTCAGCCCAGACTTCACTGAACCAGAGAGTCCAGCTATCCTCAGTGGGGACCACGCAGCAGCACCCCTGAGCCCCAAAACGGACATGGCTTCCCCTTCCCCTTCTCTGTCCCCTTTCCCTTCAAACAGCCAGAGCCAAGCCAAAGAGCCTAGCAAAATGTCTATACCGGATGAACCTAAAACAGTCGCAGAGAAGCAGCCGTCAGTGGAAGTTCTTGAGTCCAGTAGCCTCACCACGGATTCAGGGTCTGGATTCACTACAGCTGAAGACAGAGGTCAAGGACAAGGTGTCCCATCTGACTCTAACAAAGACAAATCGGGCATGTCAGCTTATTTTGAGACTTCGGCCCTGAAGCCAGATGAGGGATCCAAGGGGGTTCAAGCAGAAGATTATTATGAACTGAGCACCGCAGGAGAAGAGAAGAAGGTCTTAGGGAGCAGTTCCCCAACAGTTCCGTCACCCCTTGAGATCAACTACAGCATGCTGGCACAAACACAGTCAGTGGAGGAGAAATCAGACACCAAGAAGAGTCCGATGGGAGATCAAAAGGAGACCTTACCGGCCCTGGACAGAAGTAACGAATGTAGGCTGTCTCCTGGGAAGTTGGCCCTGGATCAGAGAAGCTACTCTCTCAACATTACGATTGGATCGATGGATCCCAGTGTTCAGGGTCGACCTAGACATTTCTCCCCACTGGCCACGGACATCATGTCTTTTACCAGCGGCAGTCTGGAGGAGTCTGCCAACTATCTCCCAGTCACTACCCCATCTGTGGAGAAGGAGCCACCACCTTTCCCTCCCCTGATCCTGGAGACGGCCGCCTCAGTAACGTCCGACTCCACGTCTCCTCCCCACAACTCAGCAGCAGAGACCCCCGGTGAAAATACCAGTCCCCAGGGGTCAGAGTCCCCAGAATCTCCCTTCCCACCCAAATACTACTACAAAAATGGGACAGTCATGGCTCCTGACCTACCTGAGATGCTGGACCTTGCGGGCAGCAGGTCTAGACTGGCTTCTGAGAACACTGACCCTGAGATCATGAGGAGGAAGTCTGTCCCTGCGGACACCCAAAGCCTTGGCAGTGACTCCCTGGCCAACCTGGTTCTGGGGGACCAGAGTCAGAACCAGAGTCTTGCCAAGAGCGAGAGCCAGCTGGAGGAGTTGGGTTACTGTGTGTTCAGTGAGTACTCAGGGCCCATGCCTTCCCCTGCTGACGTCCACAGTCCCATTGACTCCCCGCCCCAGCGCTTCACCCCAATGGCTCTGGAGGAAAAGATGGCGGAGGAGAAACTGAAAATCGACGCCAGAGACAAACTAGCCAAAGACGAGAAGACAAGTCAGTTAGCTGAATGCGCCGGTTCCAAAGAAAAGGGAGAAACCAAACAAGTGGGACGGAAAGATACCGCTTCAGAGGAAAAAGACAACAAAGAGATCAGCCATGACAAATTTGCCATGGAAAACCAAAAAGACAAACCAGCTTCAACTCTGAAGTTAGCCGAGTCCTTTGTAACTCCTACAGTGACGGTTACCCTGGAAGAGGAGGGGAAGCTAGGGGACAACGGACCCGAGACGGATGCTGAGATGGCTGCCTATGAGAGGCAGATCCGTCGTCTGGAGATGGAGGACAGGCCCCTGAGCATGGAGGAGGAGCGGGAGCTGCAGGAGCTCAGGGAGAAGGTGAAGGACAAGTTCCTGGTGCACCAGGAGGCGTACGAGGAGGTGGATGCTGAAGACGTCTACCAACTGACTGGGGTTGCCAAGGGCAGGATCGGCAGGCCCGTCGGGCCCTCCCCGGCCTCTTCCGTAGAGAGCACCACAGAAGAAGACAAGGTTCCAGTTACGGAGACAGAAAAACCTAAACAGACGGGAGTTCAGACACCGCCAATGAAGGTTGACCTCATGGTGACGTCTCCATCTGTGTCAGGTGGTGGTGTGAGCACCACAGAAGAAGAAGACAAGGTTCCAGTTATGGAAATAGAGAAACCTAAACAGACGGGAGGTCAGACAACTGCAACGAAGGTTGACGTCATGGCTATGTCTCCATCTGTGTCGGGTGGTGGTGTGAGCACCACAGATGAAGAGGACAAGGTTCCAGTTACGGACATAGAGAAACCTAAACCGATGGGAGGTCAGACAACGCCAACGAAGGTTGACATCATAGCGACGTCTCCATCTGTGTCAGATGGTGGTGTGAGCACCACAGAAGAAGACAAGGTTCCAGTTACGGAGACAGAAAAACCTAAACAGACGGGAGGTCAGACAACGCCAACGAAGGTTGACGTCATGGCTATGTCTCCATCTGTGTCAGGTGGTGGTGTGAGCACCACAGATGAAGAAGACAAGGTTCCAGTTACGGACATAGAGAAACCTAAACCGATGGGAGGTCAGACAACGCCAACGAAGGTTGACATCATAGCGACGTCTCCGTCTGTGTCAGGTGATGGTGTGAGCACCACAGAAGAAGACAAGGTACCAGTTATGGAAATAGAGAAACCTAAACAGACGAGAGGTCAGACAACGCCGACGAAGGTTGACGTCATGGTGACATCTCCATCTGTGTCAGGTGATGGTGTGAGCACCACAGAAGAAGACACGGTTCCAGTTACGGAGACAGAGAAACCTAAACAGATGGGAGGTCAGACAACGGCAACAAAAATGTACGTCATGGCGACGTCTCCATCTGTGTCAGGTGGTGGTGTGAGCACCACAGAAGAAGAGAATGAGAAAGTTAGTGAAGAGAAGCTGAAGAAGGAGCAGGTTGTAGAGGTCAAAGAGAAGCTGAAGAAGGAGCAGATTGTAGAGGTCAAAGAGAAGCTGAAGAAGGAGCAGATTGTAGAGGTCAAAGAGAAGACCATGGAAGAAAATAAAAAGGTAGAAGGGGAGGAGGAGGAGGATACAGAGCAGGCAGTGGAACCAGAGGAAATCATGATTAAGATAAAACCATCAAAGCCTGTAGAGAAAGAAGAGAAGGTTGAGAAGGATATAATGACTAACAAGGAGGAAGAGGAGGAGGAAGATAGTGAAGTTCTGGCAGGGGCAGGAGCAGCGGTGAATGATGTTCCAGAACCCAGAGCTGCCATAGAGTCAGTTGTGACTGTAGAAGATGACTTGATCACTGTAGTCCAGACCATCGACGAGGGCGAGGAGCCAGGACACAGCGTGCGTTTTTCCGCTCCGCCTGAGCCTGAGACACCACAGGCTCTCCACGAGGAGGAGGAGGAGGAGTCCCAGGAGGTGGAGATCATGGAGGCAGCTAGTCTGGAGGAGGTGGGGGATGTCTCAGAGGAGGTCCGTGAGAAGGAGGTGCAGGCCTCCCCAGAGAAGGAGGTGCAGTTGGAGACTGAGGGACAGACAGAGAGCTACGACAGAGACGAGACCACCATGGACGACTCCATCCTAGACAGCTCTTGGGTCGACACTCAAGGTGAGATTTCTCTCTGTTATAATCCCATAATACATGTTTCAATGACAGATAAATTACATGTTTTAATGACCACAAAAAATAATATAATCAATGGTTAGAAAATGCAATAGTATTGTCAATATGTGACCCACCACCTAGATTCGGTCCTATGTAGCAAAATTTGTAATGGTGTTTTTTACATTGGATAAAAGTAGAGACTCCGAGCTATAAAATGATATATCATACACTGCAGTTGAGGAACAATGAGAAAGTAATTCTGCTTTGAAAGTTGATAAACTTGTAACCCCACTTTTGAGAAAATGTCCCGTGAATGTTTTGGTACACCTACTGGAGAGCTCTTCTTTGTCTACACCAATTTAGCATCATTCACAGCCTCTTAAGCCTTAGCCCCACCCCATCTCTTTAAGGATTCACAGTGTAGTAAACAACCACAGATTTCAAGACTAAAAGTGGTGAAAGTAGTCATAAAAATAAACTTTCTCTAGTCCTTGGCCTATATCCTAATCTGATATCCTAGTCATGTTGTTCTTCACATTACCGTCTCTGGTAAACACACACTATATAAAAACATACTTAATTTTGGCCTCCCGAGTGGCACAGCGGTCTAAGGCACTGAATCGCAGTGCTAGAGGCGTCACTACAGACCTTGGTTCGATCCCAGGCTGTATCACAACTGGCAGTGATTGGGAGTCCCGTAGGGTGGTGCACAATTGGCCCAGCATCGTCCGGGTTAGGGTAGGGTTTGGCCGGTGGGGCTTTACTTGGCTTATCGCACTCTAGCGACTCCTTGTGGCGGGCCGGGCGGCTGCAGGCTGACTTCGGTTGTCAGTTGAACGGTGTTTCCTCCGACACATTGGTGCGGCTGGCTTCCGGGTTAAGCGGGTGGATGTTAAGAAGCGCAGTTTGGTGGGTCATGTTTCGGAGGACGCGTGACTCGACCTTCGCCTCCCGAACCCGTTGGGGAGTTGCAGCGATGAGACAAGATCGAAATTGGGGAGAATAAAGAAAAGGGGTAAAAATAAAATATACAGTACCAGTCAAACGTTTGGACACACCTACTCATTCAAGGGTTTTTCTTTATTTGTACAATTTTTTATATTGTAGAATCATAGTGAAGACATCAAAACTATGAAATACCACATATGGAATTATGTAACCATAAAAGTGTTAAACAAATCAAAATATATTGTATAGTTGAGATTCTTCAAATAGCCACCCTTTGCCTTGATGACAGCTTTGCACACTCTTGGCATTTTCTCAACCAGCTTCACCTGGAATGCTTTTCCAACAGTCTTGAAGGAGTTCCCACGTATGCTGAGCACTTGTTTGCTGCTTTTCCTTCACTTTGCCGTCCGACTCAGCTAACAGTACGCTTTAACTTTAAATGAAAACTACTCTCCGAAAAATGTGAAACATATAATATTTGAAAATGTAGCTAGACTCTTACCCGTATAATGGATGAATGCTTCCCCCTCTCTGTCATGGATGCCATGGTTGCCCTTAGTTTGAAGATGGAATCCGGAGACAGGTGTTTTTATTCAACAGCCTACTTTATGTGTTCTGTTTTTGCACTCTCTCCGCATTTGGCAATAATCTCTCTGCTTCCAAAGGGCATTCCACTGATTTCAAAACTGTAATTTAACAATTTTATTTGTATTTACAGATGGTATACACATTTCTTATTAAGGCACATGAAAGTTCACATGTTCCAGAAGGCATTTCTGCAAAAAAACGAATTCTAAAAAATTAAATATACCTTAAAATGCCTCTTCTGTGAAGTAGTGACATGGGACAAATGCCTAGTTTCTTGAAACAGGTCAAATATATGGATCTGATACCTGATCATGTTCATGTTTATTACAATCTTTTCACAATGGAGACTTCACGTTTCATCATGATAACAAAATTACACGTTAACACTGTTTTACCCAGTTTATGAGTTTTATGCCCATATATTGTGTTGTGTTCATGGTACTACTGCATGATGATGACCTTACCATGTCTGTTTTGTACCTAGATCTCTCCACTGTAGATGTGGATGATGACATAAGCATGGCTACCGAGCAGATCGAGCCCATGAGAGCCGACCGGGTCCCAGCCCCACCAGTCAAGAAGGACAAGACTCCCCAGAAGCAGAAGCAGGAAAAGCAGCCAGTGAAGCCCAAGGCTAAAGGGGGGCGGGTGAAGGGGCGTGAGGGGCGCATCTCCACCCCCGAACATAAACCCGTCCGCAAGGAGACGGTCTATATCCCCAGGGTGGACATCAATAAGAAAAAAGGTTCAGAACTACAGTATCTCTCCAAATCAGTTTGTTACTCTATTTATTTAATTTTTGTAAATTATTTGTAGTTTCACATTATTATTTAATTCTCTTTGATTTTAAGTGGTGTAGATCTCAGTTCAGTTTGTAACTCTAGAGGGCCATTTTCCCAGATACTTCAGTGGAGAATCTCCATTTGAAAGAGCTTTTTAGTCTAGGACTAGGCTGGATATGTGTCTGGGAAACCAGTAATTATTAACATTTCTATATAGTTCTTTGTAGTTATATATTATTAATTGACAGATGTTGTTATTCTCTTTCATTCGAATTGGCAAAGATGCTCATCTTTAAAAGCCTTTAAGATCTCAGCTGAATGTTAAATGGCAATCAGAGAGCCTCTCTTGGTGGGTGTCTCTGTCCCTCCAAACCTTTGTGCCACTGTCCTTTCCTTCCTTTTCTCTGTTTGACTATCTCACCCTCTTCCTTCTGATGCTACTTGTATGTCCTTCCCTTTCTCCCTTTAATTATGTCCCTCCCTCTTCCTTCTCCTAGCCGTGATCAAGAAGACTGAGCTGACTAAGAAAGCAGAGACGCGCTCCTCTCCATCCCGGAAGAGTGTGTTAAAACCTACTGCGGTCCGACACCCACGTCCTGCCCAGCCCCAACTCCACCCCCACCCCTGTGCTAGGAGGAAACCTACAGGTGACCAACCACTCCTGGGTTTCGTCCCAAATGGCACCCTATTTTCTATAGGGCCTGTAGGGTACGGTGAAAAGTAGCGCACTAAATAGGAAATAGGGTGCCATTTGGAATGCAGACCTGCTGGCTGGGGCCGGGGAGGCTAGGCATCTGCAATGTGGCTGCAAATATCACATCTCATCAATCAATCAAATGTATTTATAAAGCCCTTTTTACATCAGCAGTTTCACAAAGTACTGTACATTAACCTCATCCTTACAGTTGTTTGAAGCTGCTATTTTTGTTAAATTTTGATACATTATTTTGTTAATCTATACATTTTTATTCTGTCTCATTTGTTTGTTAATTTGTTATGTTCAGTGTTCGCATTTTATTAGAATAAAAAACGAATTTGTTATACATTTTTCATTTGACTTCATTTTTCAAATGTGCTTGTTGTGAACAGTCAGTCGCTCAACTTTTTGGATTTATTTTATTATTTGCTATTTACTTTGAATTGCATCTTTCTCCTCCTCAGCTCCCATGTTCATTCTGGGTTTCTCTTTTCTGGGAGATGGTTTGTTTGGTCATTTAATGTTACTGCTTCAGAGTTATGTGTACCTGCAATACTTTTTATTTTCTCTCTTTCTCTCTGTATTTAACACAGACTCTCCATCTCTCACCCTCTCACTTAACTTTATCTGTCTCTCTTTAACCTGTGTAATGATTGCAACTTGTTTGCTGTGAAAGAACTACAGTGAAAGAAGTGTGTTTTCCCAGCATTTCCCCAGAGCAGGATAGTATTAGTCCCGAATGGCACCATATTCCCTGTGTAGTGCACTACTTTTGACCAGAGCCCCTAGGGAACAGGGTGCCATTTAGGATGTAACCACAGCCTCTTAAGCTTTTACCTAAAAACTGTAGTGGTTGCCAAGCAACTGGTAGTTTGGCTCCTCTCTCCCTGTAGAGACGGATATTGGTGTACCTCATCTGACAGAGAGATTTTCCACAATAGAGATATACACTGAGTGTACAAAACATTAGGAACACTTGAGTTGCACCCCCTTTTGCCCTCAGAACAGCCTTGATTCGTCGGGGTATGGACTCTACAAGGTGCCGGGAAAGCTTTCCACAGGGATGCTGGCCCATGTTGACTCCAATGCTTCCCACAGTTGTGTCAAGTTGGCTGGATGTCCTTTGGGTGGTGGACCATTCTTGATACACACGGGAAACTGTTGAGCTTGAAAAACCCAGCCACGTTGCAGTTCTTGACACACTCAAACCGGTGTGCCTGGCACCTACTACCATACCCCGTTCAAAGGCACTTCAATCTTTTGTCTTGCCCATTCACCCTCTGAATGGCAAACACACAATCCATGTCTCAATTGTCTCAAGGCTTAACAATCCTTCTTTAACCTGTCTCCTCCACTTCATCTACACTGATTGAAGTGGATTTAACAGGTGACATCAATAAGCGATCATAGCTTTCACCTGGATTCACCTGGTCAGTCTATGTCATGGAAAGAGCATGTTTTGTACACTCAGTGTATAATACGTATAATAATACTTGTGCTCTATATTTATTTAATTCTGTGGTTTTCTCTGCCACGTCCTCCACATAACTCTCTTAGACAGATAGACGATTCTAGAATCTCTTTAAATTGCTGCATTGCCCTAATTAAATTGTTCAGGGGTGAGATAGAGGGTGGGATGGGGGCGGTGCACTTATGTAGTCCAAAATCCGCTATTCTGTATGATTTCCTTCCAAAGCATTGGAGAATAGAGCTTTTCTCTAGCAGCTTGAATAGGGTCTCAGCTAATTCCCTCATTGTATACAGTAATACAGTATAATTATACAGTACTGTACCCCATTTATGGCTAAATTAACTCTCACAAAGTTTGCTTTAATAATAATTGCTTTAGTTGTTTACAGAAGAGGGGTAACTGTTTGTCCAATACTTGTCCAATACTTTTTCAGTTAGATTGTGTTTGTACAGGCTGTAGAGTGGGTGGCGTGCTTCAGCCACAGCTGTTGTGTGTGTGTGTGGGAGAGTTTTGTTGTGTTGCTGTCAATCTGTTGTAATGTTTAAAGGATAAGTTCTTTTTTTTTTACAACCAAATCTCATTTTTTTATATAAATAGAATGTTATAGAAGGGTCCAGACCTCTTTTTTGGTGATTTAACTTGTTTTTGAGAAATGTACCCTAAACAGCAAATCAATTCCTCATCCTTTTTGGGGGCCCCCAAAAAACATGAAAAAAGGCTCAAAAAACACCCAAATATGTTATTTTAGAAAAGGCAAAGCTCTCAGTATAGTGATGCAGGTCTTTAGATGTTGTACACATGAAATTGTGTCATTTCAAACTTTATCTGCAATGTTTTATTTTTAAGGGGGTAGATCACCTTTAATATTGTAGATAGATTTTGGCGTCTGTCAATGTAATTGTCTGCATAATTTCCAATCCCCAGATATTTTAAAATATATATTTTCCTTCTTTATTATTTCCCCCTAACCCTAATTGGAGTAAACTAGCGGACAACAATACTTAAACTTCTAATTCCAGTTTAAACATACTATATACATTTTACGAACACAGTATATTTGACATTAGTTATCTTTCAGCTCCCCTCAACCCCTCCCATCTATCTCTGAATACCATCCAGTTTCTATTAGCCATATATTTTTCAACTGTGCTGTGATGTTTCACAAAAGTCCTGAACCTTTCTATTCTCATAGTTTCTACAGATTGTAAATTAAAGATTAAATGTTTTGCTAAGAGTATTAAAAAATACTCTAGACCACCTTTACTCCACACACAGAGACGCGTACAAAGCTCTCCCTCGACCTCCATTTGGCAAATCTGACCATAACGCTATCCTCCTGATTCCTGCTTACAAGCAAAAACTAAAGCAGGAAGCACCAGTGACTCGGTCAATAAAGAAGTGGTCAGATGATGCAGATGCTAAGCTACAGGACTGTTTTGCTAGCACAGACTGCAATATGTTCTGGGATTCTTCCGATGGCATTGAGGAGTACACCACATCAGTCAATGGCTTCATCAATAAGTGCATCGATGATGTCATCCCCACAGTGACCATACGTACATACCCCAACCAGAAGCCATGGATTACAGGCAACATCCGCACTGAGCTAAAGGGTAGCGCTGCCGCTTTCAAGGAGCGGGACTCTAACCCGGACGCTTATAAGAAATCCCACTATGCCCTCCGACGAACCATCAAACAGGCAAAGCGTCAATACAGGACTAAGATTGAATTGTACTACACCGGCTCCAACGCTCGCCGGATGTGGCAAGGCTTGCAAACTATTACAGACAACAAAGGGAAGCACAGCCACGAGCTGCCCAGTTACACAAGCCTACCAGACGAGCTAAATTACTTATATGCTCGCTTCGAGGCAAGCAACACTGAAGCATGCATGAGAGCATCAGCTGTTCCAGACGACTGTGTGATCACGCTCTCCATAGCCGATGTGAATAAGACCTTTAAACAGGTCAACATTCACAAGGCTGCAGGGCCAGACAGATTACCAGGACGTGTACTCTGAGCATGCGCTGACCAACTGGCAAGTGTCTTCACTGACATTTTCAACCTGTCCCTGACTGAGTCCGTAATACCAACATGTTTCAAGCAGACTACCATAGTCCCTGTGCGAAAGAACACTAAGGGTAACCTGCCTAAATGACTACGACCCGTAGCACTCACGTCAGTAGCCATGAAGTGCTTTGAAAGGCTGGTCATGGCTCACATCAACACCATTATCCCAGAAACAGTAGACCCACTCCAATTTGCATACCGCCCCAACAGATCCACAGATGATGCAATCTCTATTGCACTCCACACTGCCCTTTACCACCTGGACAAATTGAACACCTATGTGAGAATGCTATTCACTGACTACAGCTCAGCGTTCAACACCATAGTGCCCTCAAAGCTCATCACTAAACTAAGGACCCTGGGACTAAATACCTCCCTTTGCAACTGGGTCCTGGACTTCCTGATGGGCCACCCCCAGGTGGTAAGGGAGGGTAACAACACATCTGCCACGCTGATCCTCAACACGGGGGCCCCTCAGGGGTGCCTCCTCAGTCCCCTCCTGTACTCCCTGTTCACCCATGACTGCATGGCCAGGCACGACTCCAACACCATCATTAAGTTTGCAGACGACACAACAGTGGTAGGCCTGATCACCGACAACGATGAGACAGCCTATAGGGAGGAGGTCAGAGACCTAGCTGTGTGGTGCCAGGATAACAACCTCTCCATCAACGTGATCAAGACAAAGGAGATGATTGTGGACTACAGGAAAACGAGGACAAAGCACGCCCCCATTCTCATCGACGGGGCTGTAGTGGAACAGGTTGAGAGCTTCAAGTTCCTTGGTGTCCACATTACCAACGAACTATCATGGTCCAAACACACCAAGACAGTCGTGAAGAGGGCACGACAAAGCCTATTCCCCCTCAGAAGACTGAAAAGATTTGGCATGGGTCCTCAGATCCTCAAAAAGTTATACAGCTGCACCATCGAGAGCATCCTGACTGGTAGCATCACTGCCTGGTATGGCAACTGCTCGGCCTCCGACCGCAAGGCACTACAGAGGGTGGTGCGTACGGCCCAGTACATCACTGGGGCAAAGCTTCCTGCCATCCAGGACCTCTACACCAGGTGGTGTCAGAGGAAGGCCCTAAAAATAGTCAAAGACTCCAGCCACTGTTCTCTCTGCTACCGCATGGCAAGCGGTACTGGAGCGCCAAGTCTAGGTCCAAAAGGCTTCTTAACAGCTTCTACCCCCAAGCCATAAGGCTCCTGAACAGCTAATCAAATGGCTACCCGGTCTATTTGCATTGGCCAAACTGAGAAATCGGTGGAGAAGGGCCTTGGTCAGGGAGGTGACCAAGAACCCGATGGTCACTCTGACAGAGCTCTAGAGTTACTCTGGGGAGATGGGTGAGCCTTCCAGAAGGACAACCATCTATGCAGCACTCTACCAATCAGGCCTTGATTGTAGAGTGGTCAGACGGAAGCCACTCCTCAGTAAAAGGCACATGACAGCCCGCTTGAAGTTTGACAAAAGGCACCTAAAGACTCTCAGACCATGAGAAACAAGGTTATCTTGTCTGATGAAACCAAGATTGAACTCTTTGGCCTGAATGCCAAGTGTCAAGTCTGGAGGAAACCTGGAACTACGTTGAAGCATGGTGGTGGCAGCATCATGCTGTGGGGATGTTTTTCAGCATTAGGTACTGGGAGACTAGTCAGGATCGAGGCAAAAATGAACCAAGCAAAGTACAGAAAGATCCTTGAAGAAAACCTGCTTCAGAGCGCTCAGGACCTCAGACTTGGGCGAAGGTTCACCTTCCAACAGGACAACGGCCCTAAGCACACAGCCAAGACAACACAGCAGTGGCTTCGGGACAAGTCTCTGAATGTCCTTGAGTGGCCCAGCCAGAGTATGGACTTGAACCCGATCGAACATCTCTGGAGAGACCTGAAAAAACTTGTGCAGCAATGCTCCCCATCCAACATGACAGAGCTTGAGAGGATCTGCTGAGAAGAATGGGAGAAACTCCCCAAATACAGCTTGTAGCGTCATACCCAAGAAGACTCAATGCTGTAATCGCTGCCAAAGGCGCTTCAACAAAGTACTGAGTAAAGTTTCTGAATACTTGTAAATGTTACATTTCCATAAAAATAAAAAATAAAAATAGCAAAAATGTATCAACCTGTTTTTACTTTGTCATTATGGGCTATTGTGTGCAGATTGATAATGGAAAAAAACCATTTAATCAATTTTAGAATAAGGCTGTAACGTAACAAAATGTGGAAAAAGTAAAGGGGTCTGAATACTTTCCGAAGGCACTGTATATAACATTCTATTGGTTGCAAGAATTCTATATAATAATTTAAATAGAAAAACTCTAAATTTGGAATCCAGCGTCATTTTGTGTATCAGTTCATAAACCACCTACCATGGAATGGGTACATTGAAAATCTCTTCCCAACTATTTTGCAACCTGTATGGCACAGCTCTCAATTTTTTGGTCCTTAAATGAAATTGGTATACTTTTTTATTTATCACAATTTTCTTTAACCAATTTTGGTCATCGGACAAGTTCCTTACCTTCTCCCCCTTCCACTTGCCTCTTCCATTTTTTGCGGTAATGCTGCAATTAATTGGTTATAATTTTGAATAGAGCAGACATTTCCTTATAGTTTTGTTAGCTGCATGTGTGACATAACTCCACCAGTCCTATTTATGATATATTTTATAAAGATTATACCACTTTTTTTAACATTTTTTTCAAAAAAGAACATTTCAAAAAAATCAATTAGTATATTTGAGTTTAACCATAATATTTGTTTTATTATTTGTTCTGTCTTTTCTGGTGGATTAAACTAAATTTTCCGCAATGTTTTATTCTGTTTTGAGCGACTTGAGATGTTTCCCCTATCCATCTGTTCAATTCTCTGTGTAGCCTGCTGCTACAGGTAACTGCCAAAATAAAGGAAACACCAACATAAAGTGTCTTAATAGCGCATTGGGCCACCACGAGTCGCCAGAACAGCTTCAATGCTTCTTGGCATAGATTCTACAAGTGTCTGGAACTTCCTGTGTGGAAGCACCCCATGCTTTCATTATACAGGGATGTAGCTCAGTTGATAGAGCATGGCGTTTGCAACGCCAGGGTTGTGGGTTCGATTCCCACGGGGGGCCAGTATAAAAAAAATATGTATTCACTAACTGTAAGTCGCTCTGGATAAGAGCGTCTGCTAAATGACTCAAATGTAAATGTAAATGTACTTTGTATCCCTTATTTACTCAAGTGTTTCCTTTATTTTGGCAGTTACCTGTAGAATGCACGCTCGAGTTGCAACAAAATGGAATATAACATTGCAGATAAAGTTCGGAATGACACAATTTCGTGTGTACAACATCTAATGACCTGCATCACTATACTGAGAGCTTTGCGGTTTCTAAATTAACATATTTGGGTGTTTTTGGAGCCTTTGTCATGTTTTTTTGGGGGCATCCATACTACACAACGAGGATGAGGAATTTATTTGTTGTTTGGGGTAAGTTTCTCAAAAACGTGAAATAACACAAAAGGTGTCTGGACCTTTCTATAGCATTGAATTTACGTTAAAAAAATAGACATTTGGTTGCAAAAAGAAAACGTAACTTTTATGTCACGTCTAACTGTAGAACGTCTCTGTATTTCTCTTTCTCTCTCACTCTGCTCTCTCCTTCTCTCTTTCTCTCTCTCCTCCTCTCCTCCTCTGTCCTCTCTCTCTCTCTCTCCTACTTCTCGCTCCTCCTCTCTCATCTTCTCTCAACTCCTCTCTTCAGTGGGTGTACCAGAAGGTCGTCGGCCCCTCAGTGTTGCTAGACAGTCTCGGGACAGAGCTTCAGTAAGTACAGCACACTGCATCACAATAAGGTAATGTACCATTTACATGTAGTAGGCTATCTCCCTGTTTCACTCAAACTTCAAAATGACACAATACATTATTTACCATTAATATTTATTGGGCACAACATAATCCGAAACACAACCAAAACAAACTGCAAATGCATCCAAGTTTGTAGAGTCACAAGCTTGATGTAGTCATTCCGTGCTAGGAATATGGGACCAAATACTAAACTTTTGACTAAATGTCATACACTATCAGTGAATTTGTCCAAATACTTACGAAACCTTCAAATGGGAGCACTAGATACATAATGTGCATTAATTTCTAAACGGTAAAATCGAGATGTATGAAAATGCCCTAAAATAAAAGTTGACATTCTGTACTGTCACCTCATTGAAAACATTTGATCTGAAATCCAAAATGCTGGAGTATAAACCCAAATTAAAAGGTTTAGCTTCACTGTCCAAATAAATACGTACCGGAGTGTATGTGTGAATCTGGTTGGTTTTCAACAACATGTCATCTTTTGGTTCCACTGTCATTGTTTTTTGTCCTCTGATGTTTTCTGTGGTTTGCAGCCTATGTTTCTCACCCATCTCTCACACATATATTCCCACTCGCTCACCCATCTCTCCCCCATCTGTCTGTCTGTCACTCAGTCACGACCACTAACAAAGATCCCCACCTGTAAAACGCGAGTGGCCGCCCTCCTGCCCCCCCGCCCTAACTCGTCCTGCTCCTCCCACACTAAAAAGAACTCGCTGGGGGAGGTGGAGCTTGATAGGCCCCGCCCCTCCTCGGCTGGGCCTCGTGACTCCACCACACTACACAGACTAATATATGCGGTAAGGTTAGCATATGGCCCTGAACTGATCAACTGATCTCACATCTGTAAATTAATACAATAATATATAACAATAAACAACATACAGTGCCTTCAAAAAGTATTCATACCCCTTGACTTATTCCACATTTTGTTGTGTTACAGCCTGAATTCAAAATGGATTAAATAGATGATTTTGTCTCACCCATCGACACACAATACTGCACAATGACAAAGTAAAAACATGTTTTTAGAAATTTTTGCAAATGTATTGAAAATGAAATACATAAATATCTAATTTACATAAGCATTCACACCCGTTTGCTATGACACTCCAAATTGAGCTCGGGTGCATCAAATGTCCTTTGATCATTTTTTTTTTTTTTTTTTTTTTTTTTTGTCATTTAGCAGACGCTCTTATCCAGAGCGACTTACAGGAGCAATTAGGGTTAAGTGCCTTGCTCAAGGGCACATCGACAGACTTTTCACCTAGTTGGCTCGGGGATTAGAACCAGCGACCTTTCGGTTACTGGCACAACGCTCTTAACCACTAAGCGACATCCTTGAGATGTCGCTACAACTTGATTGGAGTCCACCTGTGGCTAATTTAAATGTTTGGACATGATTTAGAAAGAAACACACCTGTCTATATAAGGTCCCAAAGTTGACAGTGCATGTCAGAGCAGAAACTATACCATGAAGTCCAAGAAATCGCGATCGACTGGTCGATCTCCAAGGCATTCCTAGTCGATGACCAAACATTTCTGTGAAAACGATAAAGCCTTGTGTTCCTATTTTTTTTATTCGTTTCGCGTTGTTGGCGGTAGGTGCACTTGATTCAGCAGCCCTGGTGCCAGGAAGGCAAAGTGTTCCCATTTTGAACCATTTTATGTGTCTGATGGTAGAACTCCACCTACCCGGCAGACCCAGAGAGCAAATCAAGTGCACCTATAGGCCTACATCTGGCCAATCAGATAGTTCAGATCACGGTGTCTGCACAGTTTCCTCGAGCCATAGACTGTGAAAAGAAGCCTCGAACGCACAGCAAGTTGATACTGTGAGATTACAAAACTTTTGAAATCATGACGAGAGAGACTCAATGAATATTTACATTTACATTTTAGTCATTTAGCAGACGCTCTTATTCAGAGCGACTTACAGTTAGTGAGTGCATACATTTTCATACTGGCCCCCCGTGGGAATCAAACCCACAACCCTGGTGTTGCAAGCGCCATGCTCTACCAACTGAGCTACACGGGACTACATACAGCAAAGAGCTGCTGTTTTTATGAGTAAGTTCATGTTTAAATTGTTATTCAGTGTCAACACTTTTATAAGCCATAAAATATGCGTTATCCCTATTTCCACTCACGCTACAACTAGCTGCAATGAATGAACATAGCAAAGTGTTCCGATAAGCTTGCGTTATTATTATTAGCAGCTTGTGTCTTTTTTTAATATTGAGGAATATTTCACTTTCTCTGGTCATAAGAGTAACAAAATGAATTGGTGCATGAGGCAGAAATAATGCAGTGCAACTTGCGTTTCGCCATCAGCTGGAAGACTGTCCCCTTTTCTCAACGGAGGGACGGTAAGTCAGCCTCACCGCTGCTCCCTCCCTCCCCTCAGACTGACCATCAGATGCAGGCCATCAGTCCAGTAAAAAAATTGCAAATTATTAAGCTCACTCAGCTGTGCCTCACAAGTAATACAACAAATGATCTATTGCCAGTGTGATCATATACCTTCAATTTTAAATAATTTCAAAAAAGTCTGAGAAGAACAACATTGGCAGGGTAATTCAAGCATAGCCAATATGCAGTGATAATGTATTGGGCCTATAGCCTACTGCACAAACCTCATTGCGACAGAACAGTTTTTGGTTAATGTTGCATAGGCTTACGTTTTTTAAGTGATGTTTAAAAAAAATCTGAGCGGTAGATCTTGGCTTGCATTTTGACTCAAAGTGATTTTGACTCAGAAAAGGTTGGTGACCACTGTTATACAGTGTTCAAAGTTTCCAAGAGCACAGTGCTCTCCATCATTGTGTAATTGAAAACATATGGAACTACCCAGACTCGAGCTGGCCGTCTGACCAAACTGAGCAACCGGGCAAGAAGGACCTTGGTCAGGGAGGTGACCAAGAACCCAATGACCACTCTGACAGAACTACCGAGTTCCTTGGCTGAGATGGTAGAACCTGCCAGAAGCACAACAGTCTCTACAGCACTTTATGGGAGAGTGGCCAGACGGAAGCCACTCCTGAGAAAAAGGCATGCCTGGAGTTTGCAAAAAGGCACGTGAAAGACTCTGAGAGTATAAGGCAAAATATTATGTGGTCTGATGAGACTGGAATGGAACTCTTTGGCCTGAATGCAAAGTGCTATGTCTGGGGAAAACCAGGCATAGCTCATCATCGTCTAACACCATCCCTATGGGCGAAGATTTACGTTCCAACAGGACAATGACCCCAAACATACAGCCAAAGTAATGCTGGAATGGCTTCAGAACAAAAATGTGAAAATCCTTGAGTGGCCCCGCCAAAGCCCAGACTTGAATCCCATTGAAAATATTTGGAAAGACTTGAAGATTGCTGTTCACCGCCACTCCCCATCTAATTTAACAGAGCTTGAGAAAATCTGCAAGGAAGAATGGGAAAGAATCCCCAAATCCAGATGTACAGTGAGGGAAAAAAGTATTTGATCCCCTGCTGATTTTGGACGTTTGCCCACTGATAAAGAAATGATCAGTCTATAATTTTAATGGTAGGTTTATTTGAACAGTGAGAGACAGAATAACAACAAAAAAATCCAGAAAAACGCATGTCAAAAATTTTATAAATGATTTGCATTTTAATGATCAGAAATTAATGATTTAATGATCATGAAATCAGCAGGGCATCAAATACTTTTTTCCCTTACTGTATTTGACCCCCTCTCAATCACAAATATTTCTGGCTCCCAGGTGTCTTTTATACAGGTAACGAGCTGAGATTAGGAGCACACTCTTAAACAGACACCTGTCCACAGAAACAATCAATCAATCAGATTCCAAACTCTCCACCATGGCCAAGACCAAAGAGCTCTCCAAGGATGTCAGGGACAAGATTGTAGACCTACACAAGGCTGGAATGGGCTACAAGACCATCGCCAAGCAGCTTGGTGAGAAGGTGACAACAGTTGGTGCGATTATTCGCAAATGGAAGAAACACAAAATAACTGTCAATCTCCCTCGGCCTGGGGCTCCATGTAAGATCTCAACTCGTGGAGTTGCAATGATCATGAGAACGGTGAGGAATCAGCCCAGAACTACACGGGAGGATCTTGTCAATGATCTCAAGGCAGCTGGGACCATAGTCACCAAGACAACAATTGGTAACACACTACGCCGTGAAGGACTGAAATCCTGCAGTGCCCGCAAGGTCCCCCTGCTCAAGAAAGCACATATACATGCCCGTCTGAAGTTTGCCAATGATCATCTGAATGATTCAGAGGAAAACTGGGTGAAAGTGTTGTGGTCAGATGAGACCAAAATGGAGCTCTTTGGCATCAACTCAACTCGCCGTGTTTGGAGGAGGAGGAATGCTGCCTATGACCCCAAGAACACCATCCCCACCGTCAAACATGGAGGTGGAAACATTATGCTTTGGGGGTGTTTTTCTGCTAAGGGGACAGGACAACTTCACCGCATCAAAGGAACGATGGACGGGGCCATGTACCATCAAATGTTGGGTGAGAATCTCCTTCCCTCAGCCAGGTCATTGAAAATGGGTCGTGGATGGGTATTCCAGCATGACAATGACCCAAAACACACTGCCAAGGCAACAAAGGAGTGGCTCAAGAAGAAGCACATTAAGGTCCTGAAGTGGTCTAGCCAGTCTCCAGACCATAATCCCATAGAAAATCTGTGGAGGGAGCTGAAGGTTCGAGTTGCCAAACGTCAGGCTCGAAACCTTAATGACTTGGAGAAGATCTGCAAAGAGGAGTGGGACAAAATCCCTCCTGAGATGTGTGCAAACCTGGTGGCCCACAACAAGAGACGTCTGTGATTGCCAACAAGGGTATTGCCACCAACTACTAAGTCACGTTTTGCAGAGGATTCAAATACTTATTTCCCTCATTAAAATGCAAATCAATTTATAACATTTTTGACATGCGTTTTTCTGGATTTTGTTGTTGTTATTCTGTCTCTCACTGTTCAAATAAACCTACTATTAAAATTATAGACTGATCATGTCTTTGTCAATGGGCAAACGTACAAAATCAGCAGGGGATCAAATACTTTTTTCCCTCAATGTACAAAGCTGATACAGACATACCCAAGACGACTCAAAGCTGTAATCGCCACCAAAGGTGCTTCTACAAAGTATTGACTCAGGGGTATTAATACTTATGTAAATTAGATATCTCTGTATTTAATTTTCAATACATTTGCAAAAGTATCTAAAAACATGTTTTCACTTTGTCATTTTGGGGTATTGTGTGTAGATGGGTGAGAAAAATATTGGTTTAATCCTTTTTGATTTCAGGCTGTAACACAACAAATGTGGAATTAGTCAAGGTGTATGAATACTTTCTGAAGTCAGGGTATAAAGAAGAATATATAAAGCTAGGCACTGTGCTAACTTCTGTAACTACTGTACTAAGCTAAATCTGTGTGTGTCTGACAGGATGGCGGTTCGCAGAGCCCAAGGAGGTCGTCCCTGCCCCGGCCTGCCTCGGTCCCGCGGCCTGCCTCTATCCTGAGCCGGCGTACCCACCACCACACACACGACCAGGAGGAGAGCTCCACCTCTATCACCAGCTCCGGCTCTACCGCACCCCGTAGACCCACGTGTAAGTCACTTATTTTTTTAGTGAGTGCATACATTTTTCATACTGGCCCCCCGTGGGAATTGAACCCACAACCCTGGCGTTGCAAGCGCCATGCTCTACCAACTGAGCTACAGGAGGCCCCTCCTCCACCATCCCCTCACCCTGATACACTGGTCTCTCTCTTTCTGTTTTGATCTGGCTCTCGCTCTTTTTTTTCTCTCTTGATTTTTCTCTCGCCCTATCTCTCTCTCGCCCTATCTCTCTCTCGCCCTATCTCTCTCTTTCTCTCACCCTATCTCTCTCTCGCCCTATCTCTCTTTCTCTCGCCCTATCTCTCTCTCGCCCTATCTCTCTATTTCTCTCGCCCCATCTTTCTCTCGCCCTATCTCTCTCTTTCTCTCGCCCTATCTCTCTCTTTCTCTCGCCCTATCTCTCTCTCGCCCTATCTCTCTCTCGCCCTATCTCTCTCTCGCCCTATCTATTTCTCACCATATCTCTCTCTTGCTCTATCTCTCTCTTTCTCTCACCCCATCTTTCTCTCGCCCTATCTCTCTCGCCCTATCTCTCTCGCCCTATCTCTCTCTTTCTCTCGCCCTCTCTCTCTCGCCCTATCTCTCTCTCTCGCCCTATCTCTCTCTCGCCCTATCTCTCTCTTTCTCTCACCCTATCTCTCTCTCGCCCTATCTCTCTCTTTCTCTCACCCTATCTCTCTCTTTCTCTCACCCTATCTCTCTCTCACCCTATCTCTCTCTTTCTCTCGCCCTATCTCTCTCTCGCCCTATTTCTCTCTCCCTATTTCTCTCTCCCTATCTCTCTCTCGCCCTATCTGTCTCTTGCCCTATCTCTCTCTCGCCCTATCTTTCTCTCGCCCTATCTCTCTCGCCCTATCTCTCTCTCGCCCTCTCTCTCTGTTTAATCCTCTACCGCTCATCCTCTCCTCTAGCATTCAGTACAGAGGTCAGGGCGGAGCATAGGACAGGACGCGCCCCTAGTTGGACAGGTAGAGAGGAACTCTCAATCTCATCCAGTCCCATCCAGTTTCATCCATGTCTAACTTGGTCCCTCTTCATCTCAACTGGTTTCACCTAGTCCTGCAGTGTCTCACCTAGTCCTGCAGTGTCTCACCTAGTCTCATCTTGTCTCACATGGTCTCACCCAGTCTCGTCCAGTTCATCTCTATGTGTGTTCAATATCCCATTCTTAGTAAGAGATTACTTGTTGGAATGTCTCATCCTTGGCAGTTACCCACTGGGCACACACTGATTGAATCAACATTGTTTCCACGTCATTTCAATGAAGTTACGTTGAACTAAAGTGGAATAGACATTGAATTGACGTCTGTGCTCAGTGGTAGTAAGCCTATAGTTCGTGTTTCATTAACCTCTTTTATTCTATTAACTACATTGTTTCATCTAATTTGTGTTTGTTTTGATCCACTCTTCATCTGACCAACTTCTATAGTTTGGTGCAGTAATGTTAGCCTGGTCCCAGATCTGTTTGTGCTGTCTTTCCAACTCGTATGGATCATAGACAACACAAAACTGCACCAGGATAGAGTAATGCTGAGAGATGCCCAACCTAATTGACCTTTGAGTAACCTCTCTATATGACCTCTGTGACCTTTATATGACCTCCCCACACCCAGGCACACAGTCGATGCGTTCCCGTTCGCTGTGCAGTGGCCCCACCACACCCCGCACGCCAGGGTCCACAGCCATCTCCCCTGGTACCCCTCCCAGCTACAGCTACTCCTGTCGCACACCCGGGACCCCTCGCACCCCCGGCACACCACGTTCTCGAAGCCTGCTGCAGGAGAAGAAGGTATGGTCTGCCTCCGAAATGGCACCCTAGGTAACCGGTTCAATAGAGCTGGAAAGGAAGCAATGGTGTTGTACTGTGCTCGTTTGAGGCAAGTACTCAATAAGTGTTTTAAATTGAATTGTATTTGATTTGATTTATTTAGACTTGATTTATTCAGGAGATCATATTGAGACATCTCTTTTCCAAATGAGACCACAGTATATCATGAAAGCAATTTATCGTTGGCAATTTAGGTCCCAATTAATTAATTAATTAATTAATTCAAGGTGGCTCTGCTCCGCACCCCTCCCAAGTCACCTGCCACCACCCCCAAACAGCTCCGCATCCTTAACCAGCCCCTGCCCGACCTCAAGAACATCAAGTCCAAGATCGGCTCCACAGATAACATCAAGTACCAGCCCAAGGGGGGACAGGTTAGTGCCCCTTTGGTTACCTAATGTACCCACCCTCCCTCTCTTTTGTCCTTCTCCTTATTTATCCTCCCTTTCTACCTCAGTCTTGTATTGTATTTGACTGATGCTGTATCTGCTAGTTATTTTTCCAGGGCTTCTACCCAGCCTTTCAGACCCTGTTCCTCCCTCCTCTGTCCCTCTCTCTGTCTTTCATGTCCCTCTTCGTGTTCTTAGCCTGTCGCTCCCTTGTTACTGTAGCTCTGTCCTCCCTCAGTCTGTCTGTCTGGTCTCTGTTTGCTGGGTCATGGTTTTAAAAGGAGGGCAATGAGAAAGATGTCTCATTTTGGTGTAGCAGCTGAGCTTTTCAAATGGGTGAGACATAAAAAGGATGAGTGCTTGGGGACGTTTTCTCTGTCAGGTCCCTCTGTAGTTCACCATCGATGCTAAATAATATTCTGGAACTCCTCTACCTGTCTGGCCTCCCAGATGGGATGCATTGCCTAGGCAACCAAATGATAATTTACTACAACACCATGCTGAAACAAGGTAGTGTCTCTAGACAGATGGTTTGCTTCCAGCAATGTACAGTGGCTTGCGAAAGTATTCACCCCCCTTGGCATTTTTCCTATTTTGTTGCCTTACAACCTGGAATTAAAATGGATTTTGCGGGGTTTGTATCATTTGATTTACACAACATGCCTACCACTTTGAAGATGCAAAATATGTTTTTGCGTGAAACAAACAAGAAATAAGACAAAAAAACTGAAAACTTGAGCGTGCATAACTATTCACCCCCCCAAAGTCAATACTTTGTAGAGCCACCTTTTGCAGCAATTACAGCTGCAAGTCTCTTTTTTTGCCCATTCTTCAAGGCAAAACTGCTCCAGCTCCTTCAAGTTGGATGGGTTCCGCTGGTGTACAGCAATCTTTAAGTCATACCACAGATTCTCAACTGGATTGAGGTCTGGGCTTTGACTAGGCCATCCCAAGACATTTAAATGTTTCCCCTTAAACCACTTGAGTGTTGCTTTAGCAGTATGCTTAGGGTCATTGTCCTGCTGGAAGGTGAACCTCCGTCCCAGTCTCAAATCTCTGGAACACTGAAACAGGTTTCCCTCAAGAATTTTCCTGTATTTAGCGCCATCCATCATTCCTTCAATTCTGACCAGTTTCCCAGTCCCTGCCGATGAAAACATCCCCACAGCATGATGCTGCCACCACCATTCTTCACTGTGGGGATGGTGTTCTCAGGTGATGAGAGGTGTTGGGTTTGCGCCAGACATAGCGTTTTCCTTGATGGCCAAAAAGCTGAACTTTAGTCTTATCTGACCAGAGTACCTTCTTCCATATGTTTGGGTAGTCTCCCACATGCCTTTTGGCGAACACCAAACGTGTTAGCTTATTTTTTTTCTTTAAGCAATGGCTTTTTTCTGGCCACTCTTCCGTAAAGACCAGCTCTGTGGAGTGTACGGCTTAAAGTGGTCCTATGGACAGATACTCCAATCTCTGCTGTGGAGCTTTGCAGCTCCTTCAGGGTTATCTTTGGTCTCTTTGTTCCTCTCTGATTAACTTTTCCGTTATTTATTTTTTTGAATTTTTGGAAACAAGTTATTTTTTTCATTTCACTTCACCAATTTGGACTATTTTGTGTATGTCCATCACATGAAATCCAAATAAAAATCAATTTAAATTACAGGTTGTAATGCAAAAAAAAAAAAAAAAATGCTAAAACTGGATAGTTTGCCTCTTCTCTCCTTACAGTGCATTCGGAAAGTTTTCAGACCCCTTTACTTTTTCCACATTTTGTTACGTTACAACCTTATTCTAAAATGGATGAATGTTTTTTTTCTTCATCAATCTTCACAAAATACCCCATAATGACAAAGCGAAAACAATAACAATAAAAAATAAAAAACAGAAATCCTTATTTACATACGTTTCAGACCCTTTCCTATGAGACTTGAAATTGAGCTCAGGTGCATCCTGTTTCCATTGATCATCCTTGAGATGTTTCTACAACTTGATTGGAATCCACCTGTGGTAAATTCAATTGATTGGACATGAGTTGGAAAGGCCCACACCTGTCTATATAAGGTCCCACAGTTGACCGTGCATGTCAGAGCAAAAACAAGGTCGAAGGAATTGTCCATAGAGCTCCGAGACACAGATCAGGGGAAGGGTACCAAAAAATTGCTGCAATATAGAAGGTCCCCAAGAACACAGTGGCCTCCATCATTCTTAAATGGAAGAAGTTTGGAACCACCAAGACTCTTCCTAGAGCTGGCTGCCCGGCCAAACTGAGCAATCGGGGAGAAGGGCCTTGGTCAGGGAGGTGACCAAGAACCCGATGGTCACTCTGACAGAGCTCCAGAGTTCCTCCGTGGAGATGGGAGAACCATCCAGAAGGACAACCATCTCCGCAACACCACCAATCAGGCATTCATGGTAGAGTGGCCAGAGGAAACCACTCCTCAGTAAAAGGCACATAGCCCGCTTGGAGTTTGTCAAAATGCACCTGAAGGACTCTCAGACAATGAGAAACAAGATTCTCTGGTCTGATGAAACCAAGTTTGAACTGAATGCCCAGTGTCACGTCTGGAGGAAACCTGGCACCAACGGTGAAGCATGGTGGTGGCAGCATCAATTTGTTGGGATGTTTTTCAGCGGCAGGGACTGGGAGAATAGTCAGGATCGAGGGAAAGATGAACGGAGCAAAGTACAGAGAGATCCTTGATGAAAACCTGCTCCAGAGTGCTCAGGACCTCAGACTGGGGCGACGGTACACCTTCCAACAGGACAACGACCCTAAGCACACAGCCAAGACAACGCAGGTGTGGCTTCGGGACAAGTCTCTGAATGTCCTTGAGTGGCCCAGCCAGAGTCCGGACTTGAACCCGATCAAACATATCTGGAGAGACCTGAAAATAGCTATGCAGCGACACTCACCATCCAACCTGACCGAGCTTGAGAGGATCTGTATATATATATATATAAAAATGGAAATATCACATTTGCATAAGTATTCAGACCCTTTACTCAGTCCTTTGTTGAAGCACATTTGGCAGCGATTACAGCCTCGAGTCGTCTTGGGTATGACGCTACAAGCTTGGCACACCTGTATTTGGGGAATTTCTCCCATTCTTCTCTGCAGATCCTCTCAAGCTCGATCAGGTTGGATGGTGTTCTAAACACCTGTTTTGCTTTGTCATTATTGGGTATTGTGTATAGATTGATGAGGGAAAAAAACAATTGAATCAATTTTAGAATAACGCTGTAATGTAACAAAATGTAGAAAAACTCAAGGGGTCTGAATACTGTCTTTGGACAGTATTCAGACCCCTTGACTTTTTCTACATTTTGTATATATCGGCTGTTAGATGTAAACCAAGCTTACTTTTACTTTGCTGCTTTTGGGTAAAGTTTGTCGACTTGACTATGAAGTTGATACAAATATTATTTTAAATTGTATTTATTTTTTACAGTTATGACTGTTATTTTGTTTTCATGGCTGTCTTCATCCATAATCGTCAGTTACATGATTATATAATTACCGTGGCAAGCTGGACTAAACCCCTGGGTGACTGGCTGGCTGAAAGTGTCTCTGAAGGGTTCCAACAGAAAGTGACAACATAACCCCGTACTCAGTGACAGGAAGTGACAACATTAACCCGTAACCAGGGTTGACTGTCTGGGCATGGAGTTGCCACAGCTGCCAGGCTGCCATTCTCCCAACCTCTCAATGTTTGCATCCCAAATGTCACCCTATTCCCTAAATAGTGTACTACTTTTGACCAGAGCCTATGGGCCCTGGTAAAAAGTAGTGCTCTATAAAGTAGGCAGTGCCTGATTCTAACAGATTCTTACAGACTGTGTTAAATATGAATCACCCCTTTGAGGCGATGGTGTTTGTTTCTCCACTTTTTGGACTGGATGGATCCGAAGCAGTTGTAAGGTATGATTCATCTTTTAGCAGTCTCAGTAGTAGAACCCTAGACAGCTACTTAGAAACTGCTCTATTTGTGTTGGTAAGTGGTTAAATTGTTGGAGAAGCTAATTAATCATTTAGAAGACGACCAGACAGTTACTGGAATAGAGGGAGAAGTTGAGATTTTCTGCTCTTGGTGTCATTTACTATTCTTAATGTTATGAATTGTGGTAGGCTATTTCTTCTTCACTGTCTAAAAATATTTGAGTTAAGAGGAATTTCTGGCTAGGATGGATAAGGGTAAACTAAACCCTTTTGTTTTAATTTCCTTCTTTTGTTGCCTGCACTGGTGTTGGCTACTGTTTTTTCTTTTAATTCACCTGATACCACCTCATGTTGTTACAGTGTTGCAAGCGGAACATATTGTTGTTATTACAAGCTGGGCTACCTTCAGCACTTGAAAGGGGCCTTGAAACCCTTTAAACACCAATACCGGCTATTTGCTTTCTCCTGTCTGCTGGTGTGTCCTCCATCTCAAGTGTGTCACCTTGTGTCTGGGAGTCTGTTGTTTTTGAGTGGCCATTGTTGCTCTTCTGAATTTCTCATATCATGTCTGTTCATCTCAGGGTTGTGGATCCTGCAGCCTTCCATCTTTATACAGTCTGTTCTAGGGAAAGATATACTGTATATAAAGCTATTTCTTCAATATTCAACTGAAAGACACCTTTCAGATACCTTTGGTTCTAACGACCACATAGACTTTACTCAGTGCTGCTGTCTAGGGATGCGTCCCAAATGGAACCCTATTCCCTATATAGTGCACTACTTTTGATCAGAGCCCTATGGAGACTGGTTAAAAGTTGTGTACTATAGAGGGTATAGGGCGCCATTTGGGATTGACTCTTACAGGATGCTATAGGGCCTTCAGTAGATCCTGATACATATACACAGCCCTATACAGTACTTCCAACCAGCCCAGTAGCAGTAGCAGACCTACAGTATCCCAGTCCTGTAGCATAGCAGAACCTATACAGTACTTCCAACCAGCCCAGTAGCAGACCAAGTGTGCATCCCAAGTGGTACCCTATACCCTACATAGTGCACTACTTTTGACCAGAGCTTATATAGGAAATAGGTTGCCATTTGGGACACAGACAAGTCAGACCTACAGTATCCCATCCCTGAAGCATAGCAGAACCTATACAGTACTTCCAACCAGCCCAGTAGCAGTAACAAAACCTATACAGTATCCCATCTACAGTACAGTGACTCCCAATCTAGCTAGAACAATAATGTGTC